ATCACACTTCATAATCTTTTTTGGCAAGAGGATGGAGGTGTCACGTACTTGCTGGTGTGCAGATGCTTTCCTCTAAGTCCTACATCTTTTTCATCCAACCACCAAAAGAAGTTTATTCTAAAGGCAGATTTAGTGGTAGGTACACGGTTATGTATTATCTAGTTAAAGCAAACATATGTTTTATTTAGAGAATTTTAAAATAAATTCAGACTGAAAACTTAGTCCTCTATTTGACTAGTTAATCCTCTACTGCATCTCTCTCCTGCATTTGTATTTTTTGAATCTCTAATTCCAGCTAGCTAGTTAGTTTATTTCTTAAACTTCTAGCGGTGGAAGTTTTAAAAAGAGCCATGAATGAAAAGGAACAAAACAGAATACAAACCTTACACAGGAGCTGCCTTGTGGAACCTTAAAACCGATTAGTGCCACTTTCTGTAAGGTTCAGATCAGATGTGATTATCTGGAAAGTCAGTCTTCCAGAATAAATGTCAAGCAGCATGATTACCAAAAAAAAGGCAAGTGGTGTAGATGACTTTCAAGCCTTGTAAAGCTCAGTGTGAGAGGTCCTTATCCCTCCTATGACTATCCTTTGACAGAAACCGAAGGAGCACAACAATTGCCAGTGGAAATTGATTCCATACAATCAATAATTTTGATTTTCTTGCTGCCACAATTCAGTAGTAAATTAGGAATCAGAGGATCTATCAAGAAATGCCAGATGGTTCATTACAAAATGCAGCAGCTGTCCTTTTTCCTCCACTGACTCATTTTAAACTGGTGGAAAAGAAGTTACTTTAATCTGCCCTGTACAGCTCTATAATAAAAACAGACACCAAAACAGAGGTTGAGATATCCAGCTACTCACTGGATTCAGGTGAATCCAGTCTACCGTCATGATGCCATGCAGCATAATCACTCAGCTGTTTCACAAAACAGATCACGTATTTCCACCGAGGTACCTCTGCTCTCAGCACCACACTGGCCCTTGTGCAGCAGAGCTCATATTGGCAGGGCAGACAAGCAGACAGCTGTCAGTATAAAGTGGATCAACACCTACACAGGTGAGCTACCGAGAACATGAATCAAACATGCACATTGTACCTCAAGCCCAACATGGGTAGTTTGCACGATTCTCAGATGCCGTGTCAAAGGTGGCTCCTGCCTTAAGCCCTCAGAGTGAAAACCCAAGGCAGTTTTAGAAGGATATACATGAATGGCTTGAGAAAAAAAAAACCACTTCTTACTTTAACTGATCAGCAATACACCTGTTTCCAAAACAATCGTGTATTTGAACGGAAAGCAGAGGACAAAGAAGTTATTTAAAAATCATAACAATGTTTACTATCTATGGATTCTACCTTTGCAAACCCAATAGCTCAGAACTGTTAATAAATAAATCCTTGGGGTTAAAAAAGGATAGGTTATTAAATACACTACACTAAAACTTTTTCCGTATTCAATTTAGTTGTATTACTTAAGGGTTTAATTTGGTGTGTTTTAAGAATGTAACAGATCAGGAATATTCTTCAGAGCTCAGTCTCAGTTATTACAGCACAGCCAAACTCTTTTCACTAAGGTTTGCTAAAGATAACAAATCTATCCCTCAGCCAAGCATGAAGATGCAAGCAGTATAAAAATAAGTGGTCCAGAGGGACATTTTTCACATTACCTCACAAAAAAAGCCCAGTTCATTTTCAAGTTAATTCTTTCCACTTCCCTAGCTCAAAAAGACAACTTAATTCCTATTGCTAGGTGAGTATATTAGCAAAGTCTAAAATAGAGCCCAACAAAAAAATTATATGATTTGCTCACCTATGTAGCTGGATTATATGTTTATAAATTTCAATCTTTTGAAAACTTCTGGAAGATTACTCAAATGTATCATTGTTAGATCTGCAGCCTCAATTTCTCCACACTAGCAATGTAAATTATATTGTTTCAGGAGTTAAGTGCACACACTCCTTTGAGAAAAAAAATAATTTTATGGACTTTATATAAATGTAGTCACACAAGTTCATTTTTCCTGCTTGGAAATTGCCAGGCACCTCTGAGTGTACTGATTATTCCGGGCAAAAAATGTTTCAGGGACTAGGATTCCCTTTTTACTTTCATTCACTCAGTACCTCATCTTTCTATTACTGTCTTTAAGTGTCTATGATGAACGAGAAATCACTGAAACTAAGCAATAGATCAGCAAAAGTTGAATCAGTTCTAAAACCTAGATATGGCATTTAGATGTTGACATACAGGACTACAAAACTCAAGAGAAACAAGCTTTTACCTTTATTTCTAAACAATATATAATTTAAAAATAAAGTTTGAACATTTCCCTGTAGTATTATTAATTCAAATGTTGTTGGAATGTGAAAACAACTCATTTTTCCTCCTTAAGCTGCTTATTTTTTAAAGTTATTTCCACTTTAATAACCTAGAGTTTTAATAAACACTTAACACAGAATTTCTTTAAATGTCTACATATTAAAAATCTCTCTTCTTTCAAGTATTTTTAAAAGATGGTTAAATTGATCCACTTTGCAAGACGATGTTTATACTACCTCTTTTTAGCCGTATTGTAAACTGAATACAATCTGTTTTTTAACATAATCCACAGCTGCTTCAAAGTGTCCTTTCTGAAGCTCTAGCCCTTTTTCCAAAGGATTTTAATGAAGAATGTCTTTAATTAGTATTCATTTCAAGTAAATTTTTATTCATTTTATGAAAACCTGGTTTGAGTAGAGTTCTCATCATTGTAAATAACTGAATAAATATTAAACTCTTAAAAATTACACTGGAGAGCAGTAAGATAATTTATATGCCATTCTTCCAGATTTTCTTTACTACTGCTTTTCAGCATATCTTTTTCTTCCTCATCTCGCTGTCAAGCTTAAAAGACTCTGTTACACACTGGAGAAGGTTAAATGGTTAAGTTTGTAATATTGGCCTTGCAGAACACTGTCAATGATAAATGGTGTTAAGTCCCTTTTATTGGGTCGTTTCTGCCTCAAGGACCAGAAGCACAATACAGAGCCAATGGAGATACTAAGACATCTGTATTTTCTGCTTTGATTAGCTTTAGTTAACCACTCACTGACTTATTTGTTGTACTTAAGTATGTACGTGCAACCTAAGAAGATGGTAAGCAAATGAAAGTTAACAATTTCCCAGCCTGTCTGTTCTTTCTTTACCTATGAAGAGCTTTTACCAAAAATCCACTGTTTTCTGTCTTTATTTGTACTGAGATGTATTATCTCTACCTCTAGATGGAGAAGCAGAGATAAAGTTACATGGGCTGAAGTCACAGAGTGAGCCAATGCCAAATTAGTAAAATATGCCCCTTCAACTACTGTTTTACATCCATTGTACTGCACTTCCAGAAAGCTGTGACATAGAGCACCTTATTTCCATGCACAGGTCTCAAATGAGGATGCATTAGATGTGAACACCAGAAAGCACTAAGCCAGAGTGAAAAGAATTTGAATAAGGCACTTGATCCCTCAGAGACTATCTGTGAACAGAAAGGGACTGCTTGCAGGACACGGTCATTTACCAACCATGTGCAATTTTGCCAATTACATTGTTGGCGTTAGAGTATCACCTTATTAAGTTTAATAACTTGTGATTTTCATAGCACCTGCTGCTTAGATTGAATCTTTGTACAACATTGGTTTTGTAAACTAACTTCTATATGTTTACATTATCGCATGGTGGATGGTCCTGAAATTTTAGTGTTCTACACCTGTGTTGAAACTGTCACCCCACTCAAAGCCCAAACATTGACTTTTATTGTTTTCTGACTATATAATCTGTTTGAGTGATGTTTTTCGTAGCACTAGCCCTGAGAATCTGTGTGTGTTGGTGTCCTCAGTACAAGAGACACACAGAGTTTCTGAAGCAGGTCCAGCAGAGGGCTACAAAGATGATTAAGAGACCGGAGCACATGTCTTAGGGTGAAAGGCTGAGGGAGCTGCGCCTCTTCAGCCTTCAGAGAGGGGGCACTTCATCAGTGTTTTTAAGTATCTAAACAAGAGGTGCCAAGAAGATGGAGCCAAGCTATTAGTGGTGCCAAGCAATAGGACAAGAAGCAACTCGCAGAAACTGATGCACAGAAGTTCCACCTGAATATGAAGAAGAATGTCTTTACTGTGCGGGTGCACTGAAAGAGGTTGCCCAGAGAGCAATCCCACTGGAGATATTAAGGAACACAATGCTGCTTGAGCAGGCAGGTTGGACCAGATGACTCACTGTGGTCCCTTTCAACCTAACCCATTCTGTGATTCCGTGGAACAAGTACATGACCCCTCAGTGCTGGAGAGTTGGAGGGCTCCTGAAGCGTTGTGCATGAGGCAGGTAATGCTGCTTCACTGAGCTGGACGGAACACCTGAAGGAACGGGCAAGCCTGGGTATTTTCCTGCGCGACTCTCACCTCGGGGCGAGCCGGGCGTTTGGTCGGACGGTGTGGCAGTTCCACACAGAACCCCGTTACCTCGGGCGCCCCATGAGCCACGGCTGCGGCCGAGCCCGGCAGCTTCGCACGGGGCTTCGGGCAACGTAGGAGCAGCACTACGGCGCTGTACCCAAACCACAGCGCCACCGCCCCGCCCAGCGTTGCCGGCACCAAATCCCCGCGGTGCGGAGGAGCCGCTCTTGCCACCCCCATGCTGAGCCCCGCCCCGGCGGTGGGGGTTAGGCGTGAGGGCGGCACCGCTGGCTCGGCGGGAGGGCGAGCGCTGCGGGGACGGGGCTTTTGTCAGGTTCTGCACGGCTCCGCGCCTCGCTCTTACGCCGCTACTGCCATTACCCGCCGCGGCGGCAGCTCGGCCCTGCGGGCGGGCAGGCGGCGCTTGGAGGAGGCGTCGAGAAACGGATCGGTGGACGAGGGTAGAGGGTGAGAGGGTGTCGCAGGTGGCTGCGGTCAGCGGCTGCCTTGAGTCTGGGGAGGCGCGGGGCTTCTTCCTCCACCGCCCTGCTCTGTGAGGGGGTTGTTGCGGGCTGGGGGGGGGGGGGGGGGGCTGTCGGGAGGGGCTCGCCTGTGGCCGTGGGCTTTTCCTGAGCGGCCTGGCTTTTCTGTCAGCCAGGGCCCCCTCGGGTGACCCGTGAGGCCCGAGAGGGGTTGTGCTCCCCTACGAGGTGGGCCTGTGCCCGCCGCGGGTGCCAGGCTTTCGCTGGGGTGCACCTGCGAGCGGGTTTTGTGGGTTCTGCTGCTGTCTTCGCGCCCCCGAGATGCCGCGGTTGAGGTCGGGGAAAATGGTATCGGCCAGCGAGGTGGGGCCGTTTGGCTCGGAAGGCGCCGGCCCCGGCTGCCAGGGTGCAGGGTGTGAGCCAGGGAGAAAGCTCGTAGCGAAGCGGAGTCCTCGCCTGGCGCGGAAGAGAAAAGCAGAGCAGCCCTTACCTACCTGCGCGCAAGCTGCCAGGCTCGCCAGCGCTTCCTTTGGGCAGTTTGCTCCTCTTTTGCCCGTGCAGGAGGAGGAGCGAGGTGAGAACGGCCGGGAATTCCCAGGTGGAAAAAAAAGGGGGATACAGCACAGGAGGGCCGCCAGAAGCGGCAGCGGTGTAGCTCCGCCAATTTCAGACGCAGCCGAGTGTGAAGATCGGCAGGCAGCAGGTACGGGTGCAGCAGTAGGCTGTGAAGAGACTGTAAGGAGAGGGACAGGGCAAAGTCAACAGCTGTTTTTCTCAGGAACTCCTTTGCAGAATAAGTTCTCAGAAGGGATTGAGAGGAAAGAACATTGCTCAGACCACGTGGACCTCTCAGTTTTCCAAGAGGATTCAAGGAGTTCAGAAGAAGAGGGGAAATACGGCTGTATGGATATAAAATTACAAATTCCATCCTCAGAGGAGGAAATTGAGAGCGCAGAGAGATATTGCATTTCCTGTCTTCCAGAACCAGAAGGGCTGCGACCCAGAGAGGTCACATGGAGTACTGAAAGGAAATGCACTGACTCAATGATGATGCAGAATAGGCAAATCCCTGATTTTAGGGAGAATTTGGGGGGTCAGGAAGCCATGACTGAAATAAAACATCAGAAAGTGATTGATATACCAGAGAAGTTGAATGGGTGTCCTTTAGTTGGATCAAGACAACTAGGGACGCAGGAGAAAGAAAAGAAATGCTTGAGCAAGAAAGGCGGGATATCATTGATGAAACCAAAACTATACGGTCCCAGAAAGAAAGGTAGTTCTGTTTTGCTAGAACTTCATGCACGGTGTCCAGAGTCCAGGAAAGGACCTGTGAATATGAGGAAGAGGGATAGAAATGCGCTGGTACAGAGCGTAGATGGACAAGAACCACCAACCAGACGAAAGACATACAAGTGGTGCAGGAAAGAAGAGTGGCAGAGCTCAGTCCCTCGGAAAGGAGCAGACAGCCCAGGGGAAAATGGTAAGCACTTGGAGAGCCCCACTGTAGAAGTACAGGTGCAGAATTTGGGCTCCCAGAACAAGGACTAGTGCCGCAGTATGACCTTTAAAAACTGGCTGTTAACTTAGTTCAAGAAGTGTAGAGACAAGAGCTGGAGTGTGCTTTAAAGTACTGTAAATAGAAGTCTTGGAAGAAAACAGATTTTTAGAAAGATGAAAGGCTTTTCTTGAAGAAGAAGCAGCCTTTAACATAAAGGAGAGGAGACCAGTTACCTTTTGGGGGGGTATCAGGAGGGAGGAAGGGTGACGGGGAGAGAGGAGGAGTGTTGGCAGCAACAGGCCCTGGGTAAGGAGTACTGGAATTTGCTTCTCTTAAAAGCAGTCTGCCCATTCTTTCAGAGAAGGTCAGGCAAAAGCAGGAAAGGAGGCAGTAGTTTCAACAAAGCCAAAATAAGTCAGTTCTTCATTAATCTGTATATTGTCCATTTATTTTTGAATATGTATCATGCTGTCTTGTTTCACTGCCTGCCTTTACAGGATACTGGAGTTTTTTTCCAAAACTTTTTGCTTTTTAATTACTATTCTCTAAAATCCTAAAATATGTAGAAACAATGATTGTATTTTCACATTTTAAGGGACTGTTGTATCAAACTGGAACAATTTTTGAAGGGGGATTTTTAAAAATTTATTTTTTCCACAATGATTGTCTAAAAGACATTCTTCTTACTTTCAGTATGGGTACATTCAAATGACAGATATTTACTGTAGATTATTAATAAATGTTTTATCTAGAAACCATATTCTGAAAAACTGAGATCAAAATTGTATCTTTGAAACCTAAGATCTAAAAAAACCTACATCTACTAGCATGTTCTTGAGTACATTTTCTAGTCTGAATTTTCAGATGTACTGCTTTTTGCATAATCTGTATTTGAAATAAAAAGTAGTAGTCTAAAAGTGCAAGTCCTGTAGTTTTGCTGGATCTTGTTCAGTCTAATGCATTTGGTTGGACTCTGTATCTGAAATATATTCTTCTGAATAAGCTTTCCTATTACAGAGAATCTACTGTGTAAACAAAAGATTTTAAGGCTGAGTGTGCAAACAGCATCTGCATTTTCATGCCAGACTTGCTCTAATTTGGTTTCCACCTCTGTGGAATGTATAACAAATATACAACTTGCAATGTCCTTAATGATGCCTTAAGGTTTTGTTAATCTTTGCATTTGTTTCTTAAAATAAGACTTTAAGTCTGCTAGTCGTGTTCATTTTAAAAAAATGGTAAAACTTTACAGAAATATCTTAGCCTTATCCTTTGTCATGTTCTTAGTAGCCTTGAATGTTGGGGTTTGGTTTTCTTGTTGTTCTCTTCATAAAATATTGCAATAGGGTAGTCTTTTAGTGTTTTCTGTGCTTTTTTAATCAGCAGAGGAACAGTTGAAAGCAATCGAGCAAGATTCCGGTACTTCACAGGCTGTGAAGAATGTAAAGACAGAGCAAAACAGATCAGAAGATTCTAAGGAAACGGAATCTCACTACTCTGAATCTCCCATGGTTGCTGCTTTAGGTGGGACTCAAAGCGAGAACTTTCTATGCCGTGCTGTAACAAAAAAGTCTGGTGTGCAGTATAAAGTAAGTCAGCCTAAGAAAAGAAAACCCAGAAATGGTCAAATCGAGCACTTGCAAAGTTTGACTCCAGCTGAAAAAGTGGACACATCTGTAAAATGTGATGCTGAACATTGCAGAAATGCCCTTAAACATTGTAGTGGCTTGCTCTGTGCAACAGAAAAGAATCCATATGTGAGATTAGAAGACTGTAGTTACATCAATACATTAGTGAAGCTTTCAACTAGTGGAACTACCAGCAGTTATAAATTAAATAGATTCTTCCATGTAGCCCATGGTACTGTAGAAGTGAGTGATACAGTTTGCAGCAATAGTAGAATGCCAAATGAGATATCACCCGTAAAAGGTGGTTTATCATCTAATGAAGAAAAAAATGAAAATGGAGAAGGCTGTCTTTCGTGTTGTCTGAGTGAAAGCAATAAGTGTTTAAGGGAAAAAAAGTGGAATATTGGTAGGAAACCTAGAAAAAAGATGAAAATCACAGAGAAATCGGAAGTGCAGAATGCTTTCACAGGCATGGCTAATGAATGCAGTGAGTGTGAGTTACAAGCAGAAGCAGCAGTTGCAGTATCAAGCTCCTTTGCAATTTCAGGACTAAATCATACTCTGTCAGATTCACGTGATCATGAATTAAATCTTCATATGGGAAAAAATACTCATGAAGCACAAAATATATCAGCCTGGAGAACGAAGAGTAGTACCAAAGCACCTGCATTTGAAAATGCCGTTAAGAAGAGGTCTGAGCTCTCTGTAGTAGCAAAAAGAGAAAATTCAAGGGTTGTGGCACATCAGTCAGCTGCCTCAGGTACCCTGAGAGCACTAGCTCAGGTCCATGATACTTGTGACTGTCACAAAAGCAAGACAGGGAGAAAACTGAACAATGTGAATAAGGAATTTCAGCAGTTTACCTGTCAAAGAGTAGTACCCATGACTGGTAAAAAAGTTTGGCCTGTTGAATCTTGTGCCAGGACTTCTGAATGGGTTTATAAAAATCATGGGTCCATCTCAGAAGGAAAAAGACTTTTCAAAGCTGCCTGTGAGGATTCCTCTGATAAAAGCAGTGTTAAAACTGTAGGAGGTAGTGGTGTGAGTGGGAGTTTGAGACAGTTGGATTTGCCTGTGTCATTGGCAGAAATTACAAAAGAATCTGCACATAAAAGAATTGATCCAAATACTGAATGTCAGACTTCACTTGAAACACCAGAATCCTCTTCTGTAGATATTTACAAGACTTCGAGAACGAGTAATGAAAATGGGGAATCATCAGTTAATGCAGATAAAAGTGGTTTGGCTTTTAACCATGACGATGTGCAAGAAGTTAAAGGAACCTGGAACTTTACAACCAAACAAAAATATAAAAATGGCAGAGATGTAACAAATAGAAACTTGTCTGTGACAGTCAAGAAGGGTATAAAAAACCAAAAAAATAAAAGCAAAGGAGATGTAACAACTGAAAACCTGTCTGTGACAGTCAAGAAGGGTATAAAAAACCAAAAAAAAAAAAGTGAAGGAGATGTAACAACTGAAAACCTGTCTGTGACAGTCAAGAAGGGTACAACAAAACAAAAAGATAGAAAGGAAGAAGATGTAACAAAAAGAAACTTGTCTGTGACAGTCCAGAAAGGCACATCTACAGGTGACACAAATAGAATAAACTTTAGCTCTAAAGTGTCAGTTGTGAACCAGACATTTTCTGATTTAAAGCTAATTAAAGGGTTCAACCCTGAAAACCTGACAAAATTCAGAATTCCTTTATGTAGAAACAAGCCTGAATCCAGGAAATTGAAATCTGTCCATTCATTTGAAAGAAAAACCTGTAGTCCACTAGAGCTTGAAAGCACTGGTGTTTCAAGAAGGCAGAAGACAGGTGAAGAGACTGTGCTGGTAAATTCTGAGCAGCACCCTCTTCCTGTCATGAGTGATGCTACATCTACAGCTTCTGTAAAGAAAACAGCATGTGAGATTGACAGTAAGGACTTTCAGCACAGTGGCTCTGAAAACTTCTCAAATGGGATATTTGTGCTCCCCGAAAATTTTTCTGCATATCGGCGTCCTCTTCTTGATGGACAACCAGAGTCATCTGTGCCTGATTTCTCCGGTTCTGAATGTGTGCTGAAACCTAGTTTTCCTGATCATTCTTGGAATTCAGTTGACCACCCTGTTGGATTGCAAATAAATGATGATAGCAAATCAAAAGAGATTCTTTCACAACATAAAAGTCAAAATTCACCAGATATTCTTGAAGCTTACAAGCAAGATATTCTTGTCATTGATGTGATTCAGGATGACCCTGATCTTTTTGGAAGCAGTAATGAAGAGGAGCTAGCCCTTGCATGTGAGAATTGCCCAGTGAAAGTGTCCTCTACTAATATATGCATTAAAGACACAAAGCCTGAGTCTCCCATTACCTCAGAAAAAAGACATTCGGTTGAGAATAGTTCTGGGTATGCATATAGTTCTTTTTTTCTTACAATACTCCTAAGTACTTTTTTCTCATATCAATATACTTTGGTTGTAGTGGTCAGGCTTCTTTAAAGAATAATTTCTGGGTTGCTTCTAAGTGTCAAATTTGATTAAGCTATGTCAGTATTCTGAATGCAGATAAACTAATTTGTTCTTCATAAGAGCTTGGATAAACTGGGTCAAAGTAAAACATAGTCCTAAAGGACTGATTTAGACCAAGTGAAGTGAAATACGAAAATATAAACAAAGATAATTGGAAGTATTATTCTTAATATGACCTGATTTGAGATAGCAGATTTTTGAGGGGCATTTTTCTTATTTGTAAAGTGGTATAATAGTTAGAAATAACATTACTTTCTCGATAGCTTATTTTTTTGCTGGATCTGTAAGAGTAAATGGTTGTCCCTACAGTAGTATTCCATTCTGCCATTCTCTTTCCCTATTTTTCTCCTGTCCCCAGACGTGTGAATAGTTTTCAAATGCATAACTTGGCTAAAGTGTTACAGATGTTTATGATCCTGCATCTTTATTCAACAAGTTCCCGGTGGAAATCATTAGGTATTAATGTTTTTCTGGGTTTTGAGATGATAGTAAAAGTCACTGAAAGAGGAAGAGAAGTCTGAAGTAGAAACAGACTTTTGTAAATGAGGTAGTAGTTCTTCACGGAGTAGATGAACTCATTGATTGTCTAGTCTGTTTTCTTTCTAAGGTTTGATACTTGTGTTCAGTGGAAGAGTTTTAAGATTGAATTTTTCATCTTACAAATGAAAACGCACAGTCTAGATAGAAAATAATACAAGCTTTTCCTCTGAAAATGAGTTTTCTTGTTGGGATGGGTGTTTTAATTTTCTTTGTGTGCTCTTTCTGGGTGGCTTTATGTTATCCATATTTTGTATAAGGTTTTAATTATTTTCAGTGTTGTACCAACCACCTTATAAATGCATTCTGTTTGGTTTTTTTTTTTACTCTCTGCATTCTACTCCCATGTGCAAAAGTGGAAAGGAATCTTTTTTGTGGTGATGAACAGGACATAAGAATATAAAACTTTCAGATGTTAAAGGAATAAAATTTCTGCCAAAACAAGCCTCTGGAGAACAGGGCAAGTCTGTAGTAGCAACGTCCAACTTCTTGAGAAGCAGCTAGACTGTGTCATAGTAAATTTATTAGAATGAGTATTCATTTTGGGTACAGTGTCTATGATATCTTTGTATATCAGAATTAGTATTTGCTGTATTTGTACATTTTGCATTATTACCCAGGGTAATAATGGTTGTCCAGAGGTGGATTCCAACTGACTGTTCAGACAGTTGTTGCACAGAATGGAGGACCAGAACTTCCTAGCCCTTTACACTCATGTATTGTTTATGATTATATGGTTTGCAATTTACCTGAATAGTAACTGAAAATTTTATTGGATCTTGTAGGGAAGGGCAAATACTTCCTTTAATTAATAATTACATTGACTTAGAGCAACATTACAGATCATTAGATAGATGAAAAATGAACTTGTTTGAAGTCATAATTTCAGCTTTCTTCTGATATCTTGTGAATTTGTTCTCCATTAACCAAGGAAAATAAGAATACATGGTTCTTGTTTATTAGCATTTCCCCTTAATTTGCTAAAGAAACAGGCAGGCAAAATTGTCTTATTTTTCTTTTTACCTTCCATAATTTGATGCAAAGATCATTAGATGGTGACTAGTCATGGTTGGTAACAGTCAGGAACATATTAATGAATTGAATATAAGAACATTAAAATAAGGCAGTAGACCTTATCATAAGCTACCTGATAAAACTGTGGTATCCCCAGATAATACCAGATCATGGGCAGTTCATACTGGGAGTTTATTTTGTTGTCTTTCACCAAATACAACTATCACTTCAACTTTGTTTGGCCAACTAAAAAAAAAAGTGATTATGCTGTTAGAATTACACTCACATCCTACTACATATTTTAAAATATTGACTCTGTTCATGTTCTTTTTTTTTTTTCTATAGATATGGTCTAGACTACTGTTTGTGTTTTCTTCTTTGGCTTCTTATTTTATGCATCCTCAGTTTTGCATTGTTGCAGTATTAGTTTCTAACACCAGTCTGTTCAGGTAGAATGATGAGTCACAACTCTGCTGTTCTAAAGCATCTCTAATTTGTATAAATATTAGTTTATATACAGCTTTTGTTTAACATTTGGGTAATGTCAGCTGTTTGCTTCTAGATGTGTCATCTAGGTGATTTTAGATAGAAGATTATTGCAAGCTGAGTATTTTCTTTAGCTGTTATCCATACATAGCTTCTGTTACGATTTACCTTCAGTTTAATAAGAGCATCATCACAGAAAGAATCTGGGTCTTTGCTAAAGCTATTTAGTACATGTATGCATGGGAATGGACTTCAGTATGTTACTTTTTATGTACTGGTATTTTAGTCTGGCATTGGTACAGACCAGCAAGAACTGTGTTTCTGCTAGAAGCAACTTATGCTGAAAAGTATAACTGGGTTGTTAAAAAGCTTTTTAAAAATGTGTTGAGTGTTATTTGTGAGTTTAACAGCAATGTAAAGGAAACAACTGGTGTCTTAGTTTGTAGTGTTCTTCCAACAACAAAAAACTGAGATTTAACAGCTTGTCAAAACACCAGTTACTGTAATGAAGTAATACGTTTTATTCAATTATGAAACAAAAGCACTGAAACTGTGTGAAGGATGCACCAGGTTGATTCAGTAACTGGCAAGTGTTCAGTGGCAACTCTTGGCCACAGTGGATTCATTACTATTAGTGTAGATTCCTTTCACTTGAGCTTTGAATGTAAACACTAAGACATGTTTAGTCATTGACACTTTGCATCTTCAACTGTTCATGACCTTAAAAGCCAGAGGGGTATTTTTAGTAAATTCAAGGATAATAATTTTTGGCTTTCAAATAATGAGAACACTTGTCCTTCAAAAGCTGGTCAGAACAGTGATTGAGGTCCAAAATTCAGGTAAGTCTTGTTCTGGTTTGATTTGGCTGTTGCTGCACATCTCTGACTTAAAGTTGCTGAACTACTGTAATTGTACTTGTGCATATGCTCAGAACTGGTACCTGTGAAAAAGTAGGTTTAAGTAGAACAAACAGGTCCTGTCTTTATTCAGGCAGGTTCAGCAAAGGCTCTGTGTGTGTATGTCCTGAATGGTTTGATTCAGTTAGCATGTTCTGACCTTTAGGATGAGTAGGACTGGTCATTCCTCCGGTACTTGCATTTTTCGAAGAGAAGAATGAGTGCTGGTCACTTCCAGGTGTTAGTTGCCAGTCATCAGGAAAAGATTCTGGCCCGTGGCCTGAGTGGGGCAGTGAAACTCAGTTTTCACGCATACTTCTATTTACTATTTTCTATTGCCTACTCCTAGGTGACTCCCAATAGTGCAGAGTTTTGAATCAATCACCTGAGGTATTTCTTTTCTCTCATGTGGGGAATCTGCACACCTCAGGTGGATCCTCTCTGTCATTTTGCCCCAACAGAACTCTAGAGTAGGTTCAGTGGATACCTTTGAAAGCGCATCAGGAGCCATTCTTGCTCTTAGGAGACTTTGTTGTTTTACTGTTTTCCTTTTGAATAAAACCTTAAATTGAATCCATTTTTCATATGCAAAATAGGAAACAACACTATGTGTAACTTGGGCTGTAAAGAGAGGTTTGTTTAATCACCAGAAGCCCACAAAGCATCCCACGTTCTGACATGGACTGGTCTATCTCCCTTTCTACATCTCTAAAATATGTTGATGACTTCTTGTTCTGTCAGCACTCCTAGGTTTGTGAGACTGATGAGCAAATGCCAAGTACTGTAATAAATGTAGTTTTCTGTATGTGTTTTAGGTACCTTCTGTACAAGCAGTAATAAAGTATTTCCATAACTATTTCACACTGCACAATTAGCAGAATCTGGTAAAGATTGGAAAGTGGCTTTTGACCTGAATGTGAAGATTTCAGTCTCTTGATGCTGTAAAATATTTTCAGTTTTAAGCAATGTATATTAAGATGACAGCTTTCTGCAACTGTCTGTATGACAGTTTTGCAAAAAAGAAAGTCAGTAGTTGTAGGCAAAAGCACTCAAACTTTACATTTCACATAAAATGTGGGGGAGAGGGGAAATAGCCTACAAAGAGCTCTAATAGTAGTAATCCCTCCCATCTCTGCAAACCTGCTGAAACTTACTAAACTCTGCTTCTTAATATATCTTCTGTCTGTACTTGAATGTTTGTTTAGTTCCAAGTTACACATACTGTTGAACTTTTTCATTTTCACTAGGTTGTTGCAAATTTCCTTTATTGCATTTTACTAGACAGCTTGCTGTTGTGTCATTCACCAGGTACGAGCTTCCAAAATCTGTGCTGATGATGTTTTATATATTCTGTATATAATACTTTAACAGGTACTTTTACTTCTAAGCTTTTTTAAGGAGAAAGAGTTACTGTTTCCTAACTTATCCTTGAAATAGGTGAAGTAAGTATCTATGAACAAATGTTTTTGCAACTCTCTTTAAGATATATTGTTATGCAGATGATCTTGAATATAAATTTACTCTGGTCTCAAATATAAAAGTACTATAAATCTCATTTTCTAGAAACTCATAAATTGGCTCATTAGCACGGTATTTCCATAATTTGTAATACAGAGAAAGTTTCCTAATTTTATTAATTGAGATAATGAGCTTTTACTGAAAATTTGGGGATTTGAAATGTCTTGGTTTTACTTAACATGTTAAGGCGTGTACCTGTAGGGGTGGACATAAGAAAGCCAAAAGTTAAGAACAGTCTTACTTTGTATTTTATGTGCTTTGTGTGTTGTATGTAAGGATTCTGTCCATAGCTAAAACTGTTACTGAGAACCTTAATGTAAGTGGTACATTAATTTTGTTTTTGTTCAAGATGGAAATCTTAAATACTCTTTTTGTTCAAAACAGATGCATGCAAGAATTTGGAATATCAAATGATATTGAAAATTCCTGCAATTTGGTGCTAAAAGGTGAGAGTCATAGGAAATTTTTTCATACGTAATCAGAACGTGAAAGTAACCACAAAGATGTTTTGTGGCAAAACCTAGACTTTGTGCTCCCTACAAAAAAAGAGGAACTTGTCAGTTCCTGGAATATCTTTTTATTGTAATGGCAGTTTGTTTCCTTATGTGTCTAAAATTGACGTCTTTCGAAATGGTACAAACCTGAGTGATACAGGGATTTTCTTTGTAATTTCTCTGTAATACCTGTCTGTTGGTAGTACTGGGGGGTTGGGGTTTTTTGTTTGGTTGGTTTTTTTGCTAGTGGGCTTTTTTTGACATCTCTCTGATACTTTAGGAATTCTGGTAGTTGAGATTATTGTAGGACACTCAGTACTGTGATACTGCTTTGGAGTCTGGCTCACCTTTAGAGTTGGCTGTTCTCTTGTGTTCATCAGCACACAAAATTTTGTAATCATTTTTTTTTCCAGGTTGTCCTTTCGGTCTTTTTATGGATGCTTTGCTCATTCTTCTGAGACACTGTTGTGTTGTTAAAGGACGCCTTTTTTTTTTTATTAAGAGAAGGTTAATTCTGACTTAATGGTGTTTTTTCTTCTTCCTATTTAAAGCATAACAGTCCAGCTAGGCAGCATATGAATGTGATTTGTTTTGTTTTCTACAGCTTACATACCAGACCTACTTTTCAATTATATCTGATATATTATATCTATATATTAGATAGGCTGAAGGAACAGGATTTTGACTTTGAACAGAAGCGCATTATTGACCTAGTGGAGAACACACAGAGTGCTGAGACTGGTTCTGAAAGTTCACAGTATTTCCCTTTCTGGTATCAGTTTGTCAGCTTACTGTTAATGTGACATTCTGCCATTATGTGTTGATTTCGCTGCAGGCTTGCAAGATGTCTGTGGCAGTACCTCTTGTGCTGGTTTTCCACGTTAATGATTTATGTTCATCTAGAAGAAGTGGTTTGGGCAGATCTAGTCTCCTGGAGAGAAAGGAGGGGCTAGTGACTATCTGGGGGAGGGAAGGTTTCAGGCTTCAGGGATTAGAAGGCAAAATAAAAGGTAATGAGGTTTTAAGAGCTCAGATACTAAAAAACAGAAATTCCCTGAGGAGGAAGTGCACAGTTAGGCCTCTGGTGATGTAAAAAACCATGCATCTGCAATGCTGAGATGACTGAAACCAAACCTGGGAGCAAGTCCTGTATGTTTAGTAACTTCTGCATTTTCTTTGTTGTTTGACTTTGTGTTCGATTGAAGTTTGAGGCTTAGAGTCTTTAATTCTTTTTGTGGTGCTTAAAATAAAGAAAAAGGTTTCAGTAAGTCCTTCCCAGATCTGAGAAACTTAGGGTCACATCACACTCTTAGATGAATATGCACATGGTAACTTAATGTTTAATATATGACTTTTAAAAAAGACCCGCACAGAACAAAAGAAATTGCCTGGGTTTGGTATTTATGTATTATTTAGCATTATTTTATTTAGTAAATAAAATTGTTTACTGCTTTGTAAATAAAATAAGTTACTGTTCTGGTGTCATGTGTTACTTAGTGAGGTCATGGCTGCATGCTTCAGTGGCTTCACCATCTAAGCAGGGAAAAAAATACTACCATTAAAGTATTCTGGATGACATCAATCCTCTTTACCTTGTAAGTGGAAATCTTATGTGTGTTGTCTTTTGCCAGATGTGTCTTGTACTGGTGATCATACAGAAATCAGTCACTATAAGACAAAAGCCTTTCCAATATTAATCTGATTCTTTCTTCCTGCATCTGGACAATGCAGTGCAGTTGAAATTTAATTCATGGGAATTTCTTTTCTATGCAGAACTGCTGTTGTACATAAACAACTGCTTCAGGAAGTTGCAGTCAGGTGTTTTATTAATTTCCTGTGGCATCTGCAAAAGGTGCTGAATTTTCCTGACACTGAATTCTTACTGAGTTTACTGTATTACAGGAATTTGGAGTTTCTCAGAGCATCGTATCATTACAATTAACTTATGCCCTTTTCTAGCAAAGGCTGAGTCTTTTTGTGAGCAAATTACCACACATATCTTTGACTGGGTTTTAATAAAAAAGCTTAACTGAATTTATTTCTAAAATACTGAATTCAATATTCTATAAATAAACCTGTTGTACTGTTCTACAGGGACCATTATAGTACATACAGCCTGGATAGAATTTTAATTGCAGATTCAACTTGATATTTATTTGAAATGGTTCCTGTCTTAAACGTGAACTATTTTTCCTTATAAATTTCACATTTAGGAAGTCCTAGGAGTTCTTAAATGTCATTAATATTAAGACTTTGTAATATTTAGCATGGGAAACACATAAAGCAATGTGTTTATACATTTTTAGCTGAAGATATTAAAACCCACAACTCCTCCAGAGGAAGCAGTCCTTTGGGAGATGTGACTGAGGACTTTCTTAAAGATGGGCAACCGAGTGAACTGGATGAACTTTTGAAGAGTTTTGATGTGAATGAAAAGGTACTGAGAAATTATGCTTAAACTTAAATAGTTTAAGAAACTACAGTCCACATAATTGGGTAATTTCAATTACTAACGTTGTTTTACCAACAAAATTCTTAATTTCCTGTAATAAAAAGGATATTAGCATTTCATAGATTTCTGTGCCATTGACAATGTAATCTGTGCTTGATTTTTTTGTTGTTACTAGTAATTCATGTTCACATTTGAAATGAAACAGGATATTGTTATATCAGTTGTTAACGCTGTACCACCAACAGTATGAAAATGACTGTTCCAGTGAACACCTAAGAGTACTACTGTGCATGTGACATTTCACATGACATATCTAGTTTTAAAAGTTGCTGTTAAATGCTTCTCACCACGTAATCTGTGAAGGATGGCATGGTGTTGGAAAGCTGGGGAGCTGTACAGCCATCATGCTTCCAAGGACGATCCTTCTGTGCCTCATTACATGGGCAAAAGGGCCATCATATTAACATACTGACTTCCTGGCAGTTCAGAGGGAATGTTAAGCCATTTTCATGCTTACTGACTTTATCTGACCTTTCTACTCTCTCTGTCCTCCTCCTTCTAAATAATAAGTCTAGATCTTTTAATACTTGCTGAAGTTTTATAGTGTTTACTTCTTTAATAAGGGATTGGAATTTACATCTCTCTGCCACTCAGACATAGCTGCTGATAGCATTTACTGTTTTCCACTGCTCCAAGAGTGGATAATGGTTTATACTGGGTAAGTTAAAATTCACATGGTTAAAAATTGATAAGTAATCGGTTAATCAAACAGCAGAGAATCGATCTCCTTTTCAGAATCATTATTTAGAAGAATAGAAACATTTCCTTCAGCAAATGGAATTTGGGCTGCTAACATCTGATTCACAAAGTTAAGAGCACCACTTTGTTCCTTGATCTCTTAGAGAATCTAAAAGGGTCTGTCAGATAGTACAGTTTGCTGAAGGTGTAGTACTTGTTGCGATGTTGCCAGGTCATTCCCAGCTGGGCTGCTTCATAGTGTTGTCTTTATAAAACCAGTGTCCTGCTGTTCTGTATGTGGACAGAAAACCAGCTGTGCCGGCTTGGGCAGGGAATGCAAAGGCAGAACACTTGTTGCAAGTACTCTACCATTTGGGGTGATTTTTGTATTTTGCTTTTTTGATGGCTTTTCCAATTGATAATCCTGTGAGAAGGACAAAGACTAACCGTGGAGAAAGCACTGTAAACATTTGGGGAACTGCTAAAATGAAGTTTGGAAATCTGATGGGAACACATCTATGTCTAATTCTTTGGCTATCATAAATTTGTGATAGATTGTGAAGTTCCAGTTACTTCCATGAGTAATGAACAAAACAAAGCCAGGATTCCATGACTTTGTTCTGTATTAGTCCTTTCAGGTTCTTGCCCCCAAATATATTTGGCGCTGTCTATTTTCTCGATATAATTGGGGATTTTTTAACTATACAGCATGGTATATAGCTGAGGAAAAGCCTTAAATTCCTCCCTGGTACAGCTTTAAATTTCATCAAACTTGATGAAGTGGGTTTCTTGATGAAGTCTTTTGTGGGTTTCTACACATCTCTCAGACGCAGTTAAAATTGGGCAGTAGGCCTAAAAATTTCTGGGATTATCAGTGGGAGCAGAGAAGTCAAGATGATCACATCACTTTTTCTCCAGTTAGCAGTCACCATTTTAAAGATCAAGAGCATAATGGCAATTTTAAAACATGTTGTAAGAGTAACCCTACAATCCAAATTACAGTTTCTACAGTCAAGGCTATATTATCACACCTTTCAGTAATCACTAACAGTTTTAAGTCTGTAGAGTAAAGCATAACAGGCTTAGTAGTGCTTGGCTGTACCTGAAAATAACTTTTAGATATTTTCACAGTTCAAGTTTGCAGATGGAGTGCCTGATGTTAAACAAGAAAAAAAGAGTGAAGCTGAAAAAAGGTATATATAATGTCCTTCATGTAACCTGTGGTGTTCCTTAGTTACTGTACAAACAAAACATGATGTTTTTACCAAAACACCATCAGTATTTAATACAGTTTTTCTACTGCAAAAGTTAACCCTGTCCTGACCAGAACCAGGACACAGAGTAATTTTCAAAATAATCAAGAAACCTTAGGTGATATAGAGAGTATTGGTTTTTTCCCAACACCAGTCACAGTCTGTGAGAGGTGTGAGGTGTCCCAGAAGTCTGTTAGTGGAGAATACTGCGTGTTTTCATTAATCCACTAGAGAGCTCCAAACTCCTCCTCCTGGTAAAATATTGTTTAAATTTACCTTCTTTATGCTATAGAATAAGAAGATTATGCTGATTAAAATATGTTTGTGCAAGTGATTCTGCATTACTTCACTACTTTAGTTGAAATGCAGCACTCTAAAGAAGAGGCCTTCATTTGGAGTCAGACTATTTTCTCTAGTTTTACTCAAAAATGTTACCATTGCAGAGTTTCATGTAGAACAAAACAGAGTTGCTGTTCTTATTTAACAAACTTCACTTCTAGTGATGCTGTTACTTAAAAATGTAAATCGATGGCAGAGCTATATAGTTTACAGTCCATGGCAAAATTGTGTGTAGTTTCATGTCTAGATTAAAGAGATCTGAGATTGTTATCCTGAAGGTAAGTTACTATGAAAATCCTGTTGTCAGACCTGAGGCTTCCATTACAAGGAAGTATAAAAAAAATTTACATGGTAACTTGAAATTTCTGAGTAACTAAATCTGCAGATTTTTATTCTCTCTGGAAACCAACCCAATGCATTTAAAAATAAAGACTGATCTTGAAGAATTTGGGTTTATTAGATAGAATTTCGTCTTCTCTGCCACAGCATTTTCATTTCAAATTGTGTTAAAAACAGCCTGCACTTTAGGAACAATTCGAATTATCTTGGCTGTGAGAAGTATTAAATAGCCAGAATGTGCCCCTCATAGGGGATAGCAACTCTGCTTCTGTCTCTATAGAGAGGCAAGCAGATTGAAGTGTCCTTTGTACTGGACCAGGATTCTTAATTGAAAGGGGGAGGGGAGGAAGATCTCATGAAAGGGGATGATTTTTTTCCTGTGGCTTTGTTTCCACATAAGAAAGAGAATACAAAGTATTTGGCTAACAATATTTTTAGATTATTTTTGAAAGTGTCACATTTTAGCAGTTTAATTATCTGGAATGAACGTATTTGGGATAGTTAAAGGCAGAACAGTCCTGAATTGGAGTTCCCTTTGAAATCACCTAAATCTTCTGCCCAGTAGAATCAGGTTTTTGAAAAGAAAACAGTCGGCTCTTTAAATGTAATTTGAAAAGCTTTGTGGTTTACTTCTTTGGCAGATATTACATAACAGACTATGGTAAACAGCTTCTTCAGAGATGACAGAAATCATCTCAGTCTTCCTGTCAGCATAGTGGAAAAAAAAACCAAAAAAACCGAAAGTGGTACATAGGTGCCTTTTCTACTTATTTATTGAATTTCATATGGTTATGCTCCAGGACAGAACAATCTGAGCTAAGATGATAATCAGATTGGACCAGGCAATGTGAGTAATGAGAGTCAAGTTGCTGGGACTGCTAGCTTTTTAAATTTACAGCAAGTTTTGAAGTGTTGTATAAATTGTGGAAGAAATTCACGTTTTATATACTTAATCTGTGTTTTTAGGCATACATATATGAGAGAAACACCTGTTTACTTAGTTAAAGAATTTTACAATTTTTTTTTAATGCTCAGCAGTGACTGTAAATACAAAGATCTTGTGAACTGTGAATTGCTATCAGGATCACCACTGAATGGCCCGAAAGTAAATATCTTCAGTGAACCTACAGTGATGAAATCCTGGACAAATGGTATTGTATGCTGTATTGGTGAACCCTCCAGAATTTATTTTTTCATGTGCTTTATTTACTTATAAAATCTTACGGGTAGTCTTCGTTTCCTGAAGGTGTTGGCTGGAATTTTAGATTGCATATATAAAAGCAAAACTGCAAGCTCTCATATGATAGGTTAGTGAGGGGTTTTGGTTTGGTTTTTAGCAGAATTCCATTTGGTAGGGTCAAATAGCAGTCATTCTATCTGGTATTTATGGTTGTCAGATACTTCAATAGTACAGCAATGCCTTCGTTCTTAGTAGTTTGATGCATTACGTTTGAACCATCATCAGCAGGTAACTTGTTTTTCTCTGTTTGTGGTCAGAGAACATGACTGCAGGTCTTGGTTGGTTGTTGTTAACTAAACTTGCTAAAGTGATTTACCCACTTTGCTGAAGGTCAGAATTTTGTTGTTTATGCCAGTTCAAATGTTTGTGAGGCATGTGCTAGGCTGGATCAAGGAAATTATGTAGATTTAATAAACAGCACTTCATGTTCAGTATATTTCACACCTGGGACAGATACCTCTACAGTGTCTCTGCCACCAGGGAAATCATAATGTAATGGAACTGTAGTCACAGCACATAACAAATCTGACATTTAGCCTTACATAAATGCATGGTTTATTTGGTGTAGAAGATGGAGAAAACCAGGAATTGGTTACTTATGGATAGGTACTGTATTCTGTTCCTTTGCAACAGCTGCTTTGGGAATTAATGTTTTTAGAATTATTGATTAATATAGATATTTATAAACATGGATTTCCTGAATTAAGATCAGTGACAGAGGTTCTTGCTTAGTTTCAAATTCTGATGCTAGTTTGAGCTTGTAGAACGATTTTATCATCATGTCATTTAACAATATTTTCAGGAAGTGCAAGAAACATGCTATAAAAAGCAACTGTGAAATACTTCTTCAGACTCCAGTTGTTTGAAACTGCTCGTGTCTTTGGCCTTAAAATATATACATCTTCAGAAGAGTTCTTCTAAATCTTTGTCTTAAAATCATTCAAAACAGTTGCCGAAGCAAGAGTTCCTGTGCTAGGACAGGGCAAACCAGCCATTTATTCCCAGAACTGTGCAGGCAGGATTGACTATTTCACTTTAGTACCATCTTCCCTACGAGTGTGACCTACAGTCAGCAAGGAGAGTAGAAACTCTAGAAGGGACCTGATCAGAAACTCTATGCTTTGGGGATGGCAAGAATCTAGAGGAAAGACTTCTGAGATCAAGTTCCTAGTGCTGTTTTTCTGCAGCTAGTGGTTGGTTGTTTTCTTCGTCTTTCTTGTCACTAACTATATCCAATCCTGAATTTATCAAATTGCCCTCCATCGCTGCACAAAGTTTTGCAACTGTGACAGTATGTAACATTAAATATTTAATTATTCAACCTTAGGTTTCTCCTTCCTATCCTGGGGTAGCCCTATGTGTTTAGAAAGACATGCAGAATAAGAACCATGTACCTAGTGCAAGTCTCTAGTAGAACATTCATTATTTCATGCTCTTTAGTAACTCTAGTTTGTCAGAAAGGGCTGAGCACCCTGTCTTTTGAACACTCATTCCTTTGGAGGGCTAGATGGGAACCCTAGAAAGCAAGGCTTTCAAAAGCTCTTATTTCTCTTTAGATATGGAGTTGAAAATTTGAACTTTTATCTTCCATTAACATTATTCATTTTTCAAAGAAAGAAATCTGTTATTCAATAATAATTAAAGTTATAAAGCCAAGTTTCATGGTAAAGAAACCAGTAATTTACATTGGGCTTAAGCTTGCTACTGCTCTGCTTAAAACATAAGAATATGAAAGGTTTTATTTCAATTCTGAAAAAAACAGTTTAAATTTATGGCTAGTGATGTTGGAACACAAAGATTACTGATAAAGTGGGTGGGTTATTTTTCCTTTTGAAATTTAAACTTCTGGATATTTTTGTTCCATTTCTTATCTCTATAAGTTAGAGACTGGGAACCTTGGATAAAGCAGTGAAGTTTTTAAACTAAATGTGCTTACTCTTGAAGTTTGTGTAAAGTCTCACTTCTGGGATAATTAAGAAAACTGTAACTTAAATTACTGAGTTCAGACTGTATTAATCAAATTTCCATTAATCATTGCTGAGACTTGAAGGAACTATAAATATAAAGGAAAATATGATAAATTGGAGTGGTTTCAGTATGATTCGTTTTTATTATGTGATCCATTTATTGCCCTCATCCTAATTTTTAGGTTACAAACCATCAGGAAAAAGTCCTTTACAGACATCGAAGAATTTTGGAGATTTTGAGCCATGGAGGATGGAGAAAAACACAACTGTGAGTTATTAAGTCTTTGATTTCTGATTCTTTGGCACTACATTTCTTATGAATATTCAGGCAATTCTCCATATATCGAGTCAGAAATTATGAATCTATGTAAGTTTATGTTTCTATGCCTTAAAGATATTGTCACTGAGTAAATACAGTTTCTGAGAACAAAATCAATGATGATGGGACAACTCTTCAATTTCTTGATTTTACTTTCAGCTTAAGCAAAATTTAAAAATGCTTATTGCTTTATCATTTTTTGTAGAACTAAAAAGCAGACAAGGTTTCACATGTTTAAGACAGCCTGCATTATCCATCACACTGGGCACTGAAAAAGGGTAAAGGAAATTGATGCCCCAGAATTCTCAGACTGCTACTCAGAGCCATGCAGGAGCTTGTCACCTTTCTCTTTCTTCCTCCTCTCTACTCATTGGCCACCTCATTTAGCAGTTCTTGCATTGTCCCTGTCTGTGGTCTTCAAGACAGGCTTTTTTTGTGTTAGACTCTGACACGACATGACAAGATTGATCTTTGTCCCCTTTGAAATGCTGCAAGGACATTATAGACGTGAGGATTGTTTCAGAGATTTAATTATAGATCCCATATTTTTTGCTTTTCTTTATAATTTGTAGTTATTTTGAAATTCTCAAAAGAAAAGAGCATGTTTGCTTTCAAAAAGTACTACTTGTTTGGTCTCTTCAACTTGTTGCAATTTTATTTTATTTCAGGCTTCTCATTCAGTCCAGCAGATCCTCGATGCACTTGACTTGCCCCGTAAATACTGCAGATACTATTTCATGACTTCACGTGGGTGTACAAGACCAAGATGTCGGTTCTGCCACGTCCCCGAACAAGGGGATGAAAAGGTAACAAGTTTTGTTGAAGTTAGGAACAGGCTGTAAGTGTGAACACTTTAAATGCAAGACATAATCTCCTTTGTTTATTTCTGTATGGAAAGGGAATAAACTTCAGAGATTGATGGATGAAAAAAATGTCCAGAAAACCTTTCTCTCAAGGTCTCTTATTTTTTTAAAGCATGGTACAATTTTGAACTAGCAGACTTTTAAAGAGAACAGTCATCAGCAAAAGAGCAAGAATTAGGCTGTGCAGGTATAGAGTAGTAGAATGCACAGATTCTGAGACATTTCTATCCTGAGCATCAGAGACTTTCAGCAAACCTTTGCAGAGACTTTGTATGTATTGTCAAAAGCTATCCATGGTATATGGCTTCCTGCATGTTTTTTGCAGTATGGGCATGTTTGCTTAAAGATGCTGTAATCTCTTTGAATGGAGCAACAATTCACATAATATTTGCAAGCAAAAATAGTTTTCCAGTGATGGGCAAAGTAGATATGTTTTCAAACCTTTTAACAGACACGTTGTGTGAGTCTGTAATACTTCCAAGAACTGTGGCAAGCTAATTGTGCAGTCGTGTAATAAGATTTTGGAATTGGCTGTATGAAACCAAGACTCAGGTGTTTTTTTAAGTCACTTGGAAGCAAACAAAAATATCAAAACAGATAAAGAAAAGTGCCTAAACTTGTCCTCACATCAGACCTTACAAGATGTATTTCTTATCTGCCATCTTCTTGGTATGAGTGCAGTTTCATCATTAGTGCCAGTAAGACATTTCAGAATCAAAATGTAAAAAATAACTTGTAGTGAACCTGTTAGACATAATTACTAAAAAAAAAGTAACATCTAAAGAAGCTTATCCATCTTCTGGATGGATATCCATCAGAATTTCTAAAATACGTCAGCGTAATTCAGTTTTATTTTTCTTGATGTTTTCTCTATTCCTTTCTACGTCTGGAAAAGCTGCTTAACTTTCTGCTAATGCTTTGTAAACCCTTTGAAAATTTGTATTACATCTTAAAGATAGTAAGATAATTTGAGAGTAGTTTTGTATGGGACATTTTCCCTTTTCCTCAATTGTGAAGTATCTTCGGCAGGCTGTAGTGAATATTAGTAATTTTCAGCTAGTTTATATGAATTACTGTGGTTTGTAATGCTTCATTATATACAGGCACCTTAAAGAATTATTTGCCCCAAACTATTAAAAATCCATTCCATTTGATTTTACTGGTGATGCAGCAGTCCAGCACAATTTTACTGCTCCGCCCACCAAACCTAGCCAAACTTTACTGGTAGTCTGAAAGTATACTTTGAGTTTTGTTTGGTTTATATTTATTTATATTTATAGACCTGTCCATTTCAAAACGATAATAGGCCAGGCACCTCATGGTGGCACCAAAGTACATCAGTGGAAAACAGGTAAAGAAGTCACAAAGTCATCCAGTCATATACAGGAGAAATACATCTCTCCAGGAACTGCTGTGCAGGCTGGTAGTCCACTTGCTTAATGCTTTGTTTGCAGTGATGATTGTTACTGGAATTTTTGAAGAGAAGTGCCTTTCCCCATAATGGATATTCTTTCCTTCTCATTAGGTAAATGGTTGATGCTTTAAGGCATAACTTCCTTGTATTTAACACTTTATAGCTGCGATTGATCACACAACATAGCACTGATTTAATTTATAAAAACATCATATGTTTTGAAAACCAGCGTACTCTTTTGCTCAGCAAGTTGTACAAGTTACTATTTTTGGGTTTGGTGGGGTTTTTTTAAGTTGCCTTTAATTTCAAACAGTGAAATCTCTTTTGTACTAGGAAAAGTAAACAAAACTATTAAGACTGTGTTTTAAATACTCCCTGAAGTATTTAAAGGGAGGGCAGATCTTAACAATATGTATCAGTGTCTGATGGAGAGAGGATAAAGAAGATGAAGCTGGACTCTTCTCAGTGGTGCACAGTGAAAGGGCAAGAGGCAGTGGGCATAATACAGTAAATTGTTTTGCTCAAAAGGCACTTCAGAGTGTAGCACAGATAATAATTGCATGGTTAAATAAGTGGTTTGAAAACATGTCTTTATGCAAGCTGTATTTCTCTCTCTCATTTTATTTTATCTTTGTGCACCTTACTCATTTATTTTGACTTGTATCCACTAAAGAAGTTATTACTTTTTGTGGCTTCATACTTGCTTTTTCTTTGATCATATGAACCTCTGACTGGAAGCAAACAGAATATAAAATACCAAGATTTCTGTCTTCATTAGTGTTGTCTTGCAGCTTTGGGGCCTTGAGTATATACTTCTGTTGTGGTGGGGGTTTGGTTTAGTTTTATAGTTGCTCAGTTTCAGCCACATTTAGTAGAGACTGTGCATCCTAAAGATTACAGAGGGTTCATAAACAGAATCGCCTGTAAAAAGGATCATGGTTTTGATCTCACTGAGCAAAAGGCTGCAGCATGAGGTTTTCTCCCTTATTAAACATCAGAGTGTGCACTGGCTGGAAGATGCTGAAGGATTTCGTACATTCCTGTGCTTGTTCTTCTGAATAAGCACCTCTGTTACTGTGGTAGGACCGTGTTTTACTGGACAGCTGGTTGCTTGTATAAGATATACACAGTCTTTTATTGTAGTTTTTATTAAATTGTCATGTTGAAGAAGTCGTGGGATCAACTGAGAGATGACAGAAGAGTGGGACTTAAACTACCTTTTGAAAATAGGAATCATCTCGTTCATGTACCTTTTTTCGAAATCTATTACAGTTAACTCAAAATTTAGAGATTCTCAGATTTTTACATGGTCTGTATGTGCAGTTATATGTTTTAAAATTGAAACAGCTAAATCAACTGAAGCCTTCTAGAAGCTGTAAAGGAATAACACATTTAGTTTCTTTTACTAATGTAATATAACATGTCCCATGATTAAATACTACTACAAGTGGGTTTTCCAGGCAATTTCACTAATACTTGGAACAGTCAGAGCTCCAGATGTAATATTGGCTTTTTTTGGGAGTCAGTCCAAGGAAGGAGAAAAACAGCTTCCAAAAGAAAGCAAACTAATTTCCGTACTATGAGCATTTATGAAAGTTTGTTTTGGAAATGCCCTGAGCCACCTGGGATTATAGATTTGGATTAAATGAATTAACCCATTGTCAAGTCACACTTCACATATATTTAATGATGACATGATTTTCTGAAAGGTGTATCTTGGACTATAGTTCAATAACATTATGATACTGTTTCAAAGTAAAAACAATAAGATTTATATTTAACATACTTAGACGTACAGTTTTTGTGTTCTTGGGCTCGATGATCTGAACAGGTTAATGGTTTTAAAAAAAGAAAGATGTCTTGGCCACAAGCCAGTATCTTTAGCTTTGATGATAGTTCATTTGCTGTGTAACAAACTCCATGAGTGGATCCTCTGTAATTTTTAAGTTGCATGTAAAAATAAACCCGACTCAGTTTTCTAATAACATGACTATTAATTTAGGGCATTCCCTGTCTCTTGATTTTTCATTATTTCACAAAATAGTATTAAATATGACCTATTTACATTGTTGTGCAGAAAGACTGTAATGTTCCAGAAGTGACAAAGGATATCTGAAAGGGTGGGTGGGTTTTTTCCCTAACTTGGAATTCTAAGATTTAAACACAGTAGTGTTTTTTTCTTCATCTGCAGAGGTAGAGCAAAATGTGTAAGTATCACAAAACTGACAGAATGTTCCAATACCAAATAACTCATGTGGACTTTTTTTTCTTAATTAAGTGGGTGTGGGGTGAAACGGTTCATTAAATTAAGTTAGTGAGTTTTTTGTTCTTTGTCCTTATCAGTGATTGTTTGTGATAATCAATGTTACAGTATTCATATCTGGATGATTTTTTGACTTCTTAGTTGTTATGTTCCATGTAATTTTTTGTTACCACATTTCACTTTAACCTTTTTGCTTCCCTTTTTCTGTTTGTTTACAGTCTGCCACATTAATACTAATCTTGAAGTAACTGTATTTTCAGTGTAAAGCTCATTTCATAATAGAAGTCATGTTTGTGGGTAGTTCTTTTGTTTGGTGTAAACTGAGGTAACATTTCATTATAGGTTTTTTTGCTTGGTTTTTTTTTTTTTTTTTTTGTTCCTAGATTTGCATGACAATTCTTAGGACATACATTAATATCAAAGAACCAGGCCTCCTAAAACGTGCAGGTATGGTATAGTAGTAGCTGTTGATGTATCTTTGATACTTAGCTTATTTAAAGCAAATAAAATAGATTGTCAAGAGAGAAATGGTTATTCAACAGTGAATAAGAAGTTCCTATTTCAAATGAATATGTTCAGTCCCTGCATTGTTGTGTTTAAATTTCCCAGTCAGGCTAGAAATTTAAATACACAGTTATCTCAGGAGGTTGTTAGAAACTTACTTCCACAGAAAATGAACTTAGCCTGACTGTAACTAGATTTGAGAGTAGAAATGCATGACTGGGGCAGGGGGTATGTTTAACAGAACCCAAATTTTGTTAAGGTGCTTTTGAACACCCTGGCCAAACATCACAAACCCAAAACCTTTAGAATGAAGCTCTTGAAGTATTGCTACTGCACCCAAACAGCTTTAGTTTAGTCCTTACACATTACCATATATGCAGGCAATTATGATTAACCCATTTTAAGAACTCCAATTGATGCGGATCCATCTGAGCTTTTGAGTTCAGTCAGAAAGGACTTTGTTTTGGTTTGGGTTTTTTTCACTCTGGACAGTGATTCCTTTTGTACCTATCTTGAACAGTCTTAAGTTTTTGAGAGCTTCTCGGCGTGTAGCAGAATGTGAACGGAGGACTCAGTTGCACCCTGTGCTGTATTGTTCCCATGTTAAAATATTGGGTGTTTTAATGTGGGTAACACTGTGTGCCAGCAAGCTATGGTACGTGTCTGTCAAGGAAAGCTAGCTATGCAACAGGTGGTAAAACCATCCACCATAACACTGCACTTCACTTTCTAGAGCTTCATGTCTGGAAAGGCCTTACTGCCTTGATGCACATACTAAATCTGACCTGGTTTTGTGCATTTTTCTTGTGCTGCACCAAATCAGCTAAGCTTTCTTGAAATCTACAGGGCTTACAGTGTTCAGTTCAATTATATGAGGTATTTCAGAATAGTCAGTCTGGGTCTAGTAAGGTTAACACTGTATTCAAACTGGATCCTTTCACACATTTTTCTCCATATCCCTGTCCCATAATATCTTGGATAATTAAGGGTTGTTACACTGCATTTAAAATGTAAGGAAATAACTTGCTTAAATAGTTAGCATCAGTTACCCCAAAGTGAAATTAATTTAATTGCTTTTTCAGTCCAGATATTTGTGCGGTATTACAGAGGAGTTGTTCCTGGTGTGGATTTTGCTTCTCAAGTGTTGAATGATCTTCTTGTTTCTCTGCTCAAGAACTGTTTGTTGCAGGAGGTATTTTGGATATTGAATGTAACTGCAGAAATCAAGACACTGGTAGGTGACTTTGGAATATTTTTAAATCTTTGTTCCATAGTTTCTCCACACTCCAAGTTTGAGTATTATGCCATTTGTATTAATAAGTTTGGTTTTACTCTGGTGCTCAAATCTTGGGTGAGGGGAGCAGTTCAAAAGTTTCCATTATAAAATCTCTAAGTTTCGTTATTGAACAGAATTGCAAAACTGATTGTGCTTTTTTTTTGTTTAAATTAGCCAACTACAGATGTTGTTATGAAAGTTTTTGAGCAAGTGGCTTCTTTGAATTTAAGAGATGCTGTGCCTACATTAATCCGTACCTTTCGTAAGGTATGAGTTTGTACTACTGCTGCTTGTTGGAATTTCTGAAATACTTTCCCTGTTTTAAAACTCAAACACTTTACTTTAAAAAAATTGTACTGAAATAATATTAAAAGTGTTATTGTGAGTAGCTGAATTGGTTGTACGGGTTTTTATTTAATCAATTCTTTTTTGAGTAAGATTCACTGTGACATGTTTTTCCCAATGTTGTTTGCCACTTACCTCTGAAAATGCGTTAAGTGATCACAGTTTTTGTATGCTTACTTTTCTTACTTTTTTTGATATTACAGCTCGTTGATGCTGGTATGTTCCTTGAGTTAGACCATTTTGACTATATTGTTAAATTACTTCACCAATTGCAAGTTTCTAGTTGGGAAATAAGTGTTGTTTTGAACATAAAATCCAGGTATGCCTTTAAGGAACTACTTTTCTAATTATATCTGTCTAGTTCCTGCTTTAGATTCTGTTTTTATAAATTTACGTAAAATCTTTAAAAGATGTTCTGAATTAAAATACTGTCGTATCATGCCTAATTGTATTTAAAGTGGTGTCAATCTACTGTGCTTCAGAGATCAAGGAATGTTAAGTCAAAACTTAGATTCTGATTATTATTTTTTTCCATATCAACCGTCATTGTACAGTCTGCTCCCTGCTGTGCTAAAGGTTTATATAACTAGTCAAATTCAAAACATCATGGTTTAATATATCATTTATGCCCACATAAGCAAACAGTACAGACAATACGAGGATTAGTTACAATCTGAAGTAGTTTTCTAGTTTCCTTTATGGTGTGATTAGATAAACACTTGTGCCAACACGGCTAGGGAGGAGGAGGATCATTTTTAAGTACTGGTGGATTATGCTGGGCAAAATCTCAAATCTTTTCCATAACTGTTGGTACCTCCCCATCACTTGAACGAGATTGTGATCCTTCTTTTTTGTATCATCTGCATCATATACACACATGCAAGCTGAGAAATTAAATTTGTGATTCGTAAACATACCTTTGATTCTTAGAGGAGACCAAATATGCAGCATCTACTATCTGAAAATAAACCACCACTGTTCCAACTGAAAGAACTGTAGAAATTATTTTCTGCTTTTGCATACTTTTCCCATAGAGTACTTTCAGCCATGGATCTCTGTTTTTTTACCTATGCAATTTACCACAAATGCTGGAGGTCATTTTAATTACTTTTTGTATCGGGAATCTGATTCACAAAGTAATGACTTCTTCCAGGTTGCCTCAGTATGTATGTGAGTGCAGCTGAAGGTGAGAAAGGCTCTGTATCTATGAAGACTGAGCACCTGTGCTACTTCAGTTACTCCTGTTAGCACATGCCCTGTGTAGGTTATCCATCTCTGCCTCGTAGCGTTGCACTGAGTAGATGTATCCATCGTTTCAGTGGTGGCATCAGGATAAAGTGTTGTGCTCCTAGGTATTTGAAGGTGACTTGCAGTTGTCATTTTATGTCAGAAATACATACAATACAGTTTACTTACTGGATTTGCAAGTCTTATTTGTACCTTTTCAGTTACACTTCAACTGAGACAAGGGAATATATTCTGTAAAACTAGCTCTGCTCAATTATTTGTTTAATACATTTACTGTCTTCCCTTGGCAAGATTGTAAATGAGTGTTTTCAGTGTGCAGTTTGCATAATGTGAAGTAAATAGAATCAAAAATCAGATCAGTTTATTGTTCATATATGGTCTTTTGTTGTTTGTCTTCTGCTAGTGCATAATTTAGTTCAATAGGGTGTTAAAATTAAGTATTAATATTTTTTTTATATGGAAGATTTAGAGAAAGACACCATTTTGAAAAGAACTGGCTTTTTGATTTCAACTTGGCAGCAGATGAAATTCAGGTACAGTATGTGCATTCTTCAGACTTGGTGGAATACTTAAACTATGCCTTCTTTTAAACGTACAAGAAATAGCAATTTCTACACCTTTCTAAATTAGTGGGCTCTATTATTGAGTATATTGAGCTTATGATCAAATGCTTTTATGTAAATCCATGTTTGGGAAGGCTTAACATGCAAGGGAATACTGTCATTGGCTTTTCTGTGATGTCAGTATTTTAATTTACATACTTGTAGTTTGTATCTTGGTTTTGCATCTAATTTAAAGATTTTATAACTTTAAGCAATTATTTCCTATGCCTTACATTTGTTATGCTTGTAGTTGGTAGTGGTGCATCATTCCTCACCAAAAATTTATTTATATTATTTAGCAGATAGAATTCACATGTAGTATAAAAACACACAATTGTGAAAGGCTACATTTGACAACACTAAGCAGGAATTTTAAAGAATAAGAAAATATTGTAAAATATTCTTTAGTTGAACACTTGTGTGTTTCATATTCAAGGTCAGATTACTTATTATGCTCAATTATGGTTTACATATTATCACACGTAGTGCTCAAATCCAGACACTGAAATATAAGAAGGGAAGAACCTTCTTTTACTCCTTCAACACCAAAGTTACCAAGTGATCTGGCAAGCAAACGACTGACTCATACAGAAAAAAAACATAAATCCGGTGTGCATCATGTCAAAAAAAAAAAAAAAGGATAGCAAATACTGGATACTGGATGAATGCCAGCTCTTAAATAGGATACGTAAGTTATGAGCTTCCTCAGCTGGGGTCATGACATGAAAAAAGAAATTTTATTTCTTGAGGGACAGAAGCAATTAGTAGTCCATGAAAGTTAGGCAACATGAAACTGTGCCATATGAACATGAAGATTCTTGGCAGTACCATTTCATCTCCATCTTTTTTCTGCTTTAGTCTATCCCAGGTGTATCTCTCAAATTTCAATATATTTTCTGTTTGGTGTTCTGGAAGCAGGTTTGCTTATCTTTATCCCTTGCCCTTTTCACAGCATTGTAAGGAAAAAAGGGATTGGACCAAGCTGGGAATTTTGTATCTTAATGCAAGAACTGGATGTGAATGTTTTGAGGATTTTCAGAAATTATTTTTATCTATTGCTGAAATACTAACCAAAGATTCTGAGTCAGACAGACCAGAAGTTCCTTTCTGTGATTTTGCTGATGCAGGTAAAATTAAGATACAAGAAATGCTTTTTGTTCATCCCTTTTCTTTGTAGAGTTTTAAAAGAGATAAAAAATTATTTTGTATAGTTTTATGATTATTAGTTAATTTTATGTTACAGTGTTCAGAATTTCTTGAGTTGCAAATGCAATCAGCTGTAATGTTCAGTAGAAGCCATTTTCTACTAGAAGTAAAATCCACAGAGCTTACACTTAAAGTCAAAAGAAAATTCTGAAGGAGGAACACTTGAGCTTTGTGAAATCAGGAAGAGAACCCAAAATTTGTGGTCTTTTAATAAGAATGGCCTATACTCAGGACAAAGGCAAATGTATTTAAGTATTGTCATGTGAAGTGTCACACTATTAATAGCGTAAATAAACTTTAGAGTTGTCAATATATATATAGTTGTGTATTTTAAAACACCTTGAACAGGGTTACATCATATACATAATTTATAGCTTTTCCTTAGTAATTTGGATTTTTAGAAGTATTCTCTAAAGAACCAAGAGTTTCTCCAAGTGCTGGGTCCACAAAACACCTTCTAGTTGCCCCTTTCCTCCCTATGCCCCTTCATTTGCATATCTGTATCATTCTTCCTGATAAGCTCACAAATCACTGAGGCTCAGTGAAGTGTCAGTGGGATATTTAAGTGTTTTATAAGGGATGACTCAGATACTTTTCATCCTGTATTAACTATTAAACATGATGAATACTTATTCCAGATACATGACATGACCTTTCTGACCACGGACTTCTGTATTACTAAATGGCTATCACAGCTTCCAGTTGTGACACAGAGAGAATATTTTGGCAGAGCTTGGGACTTAGTCTGTCTTCCCTAGAGCAGTGGTCTCCAAACTGATAGGCGCCTCCATCAGTAAAAGATTTTTGAACACTCACCCCCAATTTTTTATGTACTACTGCACTAATATATTAAATTCATTAGAAAGCATATACAAAAATAGAAATTGCAAATACAAGATAAATAAACACTACATTTTAAAATATTTATTTTTATTTTCTAATGGTACAAAAAATATTCCCACACCTGAATGGGTTGAGACCAAAGAGGTGGTACAGTATGTTTGGAAAAACTTGTAATTACTTAGTTCTTCTGCAATTACCAAAATTTCTTCATGTTGCCAGAAAACGTAACGCTTACTTTACAAATAATGATGTTGCTAAATTATGCCATTATATGTCCAGTTATTTTATAGATGACTTAGACTACTATAAAATACTGTCTGAATAAACTATAGTTACTTACCCTACTTCCAGTGTTAGGACTTAAGGAGTTACTACTTTTAATGGTAAATATTTCAGAAAACGGATTTGATATTTCACAACTGTGGTTTTCAAGCATTTAATTTCTTTTAAACTGCATTTACATGTAAAATTTTTTTTAAAATGCTTTTTGTTTTGTTTCCAGTAATGAAAAATTCACAACCTAATGAAGCAGACAGACTTTTCGTTGGGAGGACTGGAATAAGCGTAATGTATTCTTATCACGAAGTACTGCAGTGGATGAAGGTATACTTGGACTATAGGAACCTGACTTGAAGAAAAAGAAGTAGTAATTTCTCTTCTAGATGTTGTGTTTCTCTAGTTGAATGGCTCCACTTCCCTCCTCACCATCTTAATACTTCTTAATCGTCCAGATGGATCAAAGCATTTCACTGTGCCTTTCTGAGCAGTGGGTTTCTGTGGAGCCCATCATAACTTTGTCTTGCAACCTAGCAATTTGATTGTTCAGGTTCAGCTTGTGATTTTTCTGAGCTGAGGTTGAATCTAAATCAGGAGACCAGTCTTCCTGATATTCTGGGGTGAGGTGCTGATGGGATTGTTTCCCGGAAATGTGTGTTTCTTCTGTCTGGCAGTAATGCTGCGTTTTGAGACCTCACAACACAAGTGATATTTAGAGAAGTTTTAGCAATTTCCTGCAGTGGTGCTTCTGCATCTGGCCTCAAATAGCATGGATAAGGCCAGAAAGACAGAAAAGCAGCGTAGCAAGGCTGCTGCTGCTCTTGGTGAACTGCTTGTTCCTCAGAACTCCACTGGAAGTGCTTTTCTTTGGTAGAATATAAATTTCTGAATTCTGCGAATCTTGCAAAACTTGGACATCCCAAAGAAATACCCTTTACAATGCTTTCTTTGCTGTCAAATATTATAAAGGGCCAGGGCTAAGAGACTAGACTTTTGACTGGATGTTTTATACTCCTTAGGCCTCATGCAGTATTGGTCATAATTTCACTGTAGCAATATCTACTTCAATGTTAAGTTCATCTTTTTCTTCCTGGAAGGAAGCAGTGTATACCAGACAGAATCTCCTATACAATGTAACATGACAAGTGACAGCATAAGAAATATATAAACCACCAGCGGTTTTGGAGTGTATTTTGTTCAGTGATCAAATTCTGAACTTGGGTCTGATCCTTTCAGCTAATAATTATGCTGTACTGGGATGTTCTTCATCCCATACAAGATGATTTCCAGCACGAATTGTTATGAACAAAAGGAAGTGCTCTCGTTGTCTTCTTCCCTTTGTCTCTTGAAGTTTTGGGTTGGGTTTTTTTGTGAATTATCATCAAGGAACCCATTTTGGTTCGCTTCAAGGAATTAAATTGTCTTTTGTGCTAATGGTTAAGCCAGGTCCCAGGAGATATTTGATAGAGGTGATTAGTGTGGAAGCAGTGCACCTGTTCTGATGAATCATTAATTTTTCAGCATCAGCGTGTTGAGTTGAATTTAGCAAGTCCCTGTCAAGCTACAGCACAGTGTGGTACTGTTTAAGAGTAAAGGGAAGGAGAGAGGCTCTTTGTATTAGCACTTACATAATACTGCGCTAGAACTCTTTTAGGCATTTTTGTTCCACAAAACTTAGCAGTTAGAACAGTTAAGATAGTCCTAACCATAGAAGAGGTGATATAAATTTTTGGCATTGAGGAATGGTAGTGCTCACATGCCCATTGAAGAGTTTAGTTTGGCTTGGGATTTGGCTGTCTTCTTCAGCATATAGTGTTCATACGCATTCATACATTCTAGCTGTTTTACAGATACTTATTAAGGGTAACCCTGATATTTGGATTGCATAATCCCTTATATTCCAAGGAGATTCATCTTCATGTCCTAATTTCAGAGGTGCAAGTTGTCAAAAACACGTGTAGTGTTTTTCTTGCAGATACCTGCAGGGCTTCAAAAGTCTCCAGTTTTGAGCACATGCCAGTCTGCAGTATGTATGTACATATGCATAAAGCATTTTCAAATCATGAGCTTCTTCTAAGTGAGTTTCATTTTCTGTCAGCTTCTCTGTTCTCTTAAACTTCCCTTTCCTTCTACCTTCATGAACCTTATTCTGCCACCAGAATGCATGCTCACACAAAACCACAATTTTTAATAAGCTGCTTCCTTATTGATGCACCCACTAAACAAGAGCTGAAACGCATCTAGTTTGGAGCTTGGTCCATGTTGCTTGACTAGCAAGGTGCAGCCAGACAGGGCAAGTACTGAATTCTGCCTGGCCTTGCCTTGCTGGGAACATTATTGTGATATCCCACCTTGACTTGATCATCATCTATTTTAGATTGGTCAGATCTTAATTATCTTTGAGACTGCTACCTTTCTTCTGGTTTTGACTGAAAAGGACAACGAAAAAGTTAAGACGAAGCTTCTGTAGGAAACCAGTCTGAATATCAGCCTGGAATCTTGGCAATCAGCCAAGTTGTTGGTTGTTACACTGTTGGCCAGATAGGCCCAACTTTTTCCAGTTTATTGTCCTGCTGCATTACAACTATCAGTCTCTGCTTTTGCTTATGTTGGAGTAATGATTTCAATTTAACAGTTATAGCTCTACTGCAAAAAGAAGAATCTCTGTATGATCTTTTTAGAATTTTGCAGATTGTGTAGTGCTGAATGGAATAAAAAATAAAAAATTAACTAAGCAAATAGAAATTAATTACAAAGTATATTAAAAATACTGTATAGGGACATTATATAAGAGAAATAGAGGGGAATAGTGTGCTGGGAACTCTTCAACGAGAGGTTGGTCAAAGTTTTTTGCCTAGATAGTAAAAAAAAAAACCAAAACCCTTCTTTAGAAGTTTTGCTCTAGAAATTTTCTCCCCTGACTCAGTTTGGATAACTGAACTGATGCCTATAAACCTATACCACTAAATTAAATCTGCTGTATTTTGTGTAAATACACTCCTTGTTCACTGATACCACTGCTTTTTCTGACCTTCCCCCTTTCCCTTCTCCCTCTTACACTAGGGAAGGAAGGTTTTGGATAAACTGCACGAGCTACAGATACGTTTTACACTCATGAAAGGACTTATAGGTGCAGGGAGGTCAGCATCAAGATGTCAGATTGTTAATAAAGCTGCAGAAATCTTCCTTAATTGTGGAAGTTTGGATGGAGCGACAAGGGTATTGAGAGGTAAGCTTTTGACTTAAATTTGAACCATTCCCTTCCATGACAAATTTCAGATAAAAGATACAAGCTGCTCTATGTTACTAAATAAAGTTAATAATACTGGGACAACAAAAGCAAATGTGATCCATCTTACTGGTAGTAGTAGTCTTGATATGTATAAGAAATAATATAATACATAATATTTTTCAGAAAAGTTTTCGCAGTAGTCTGGTATCAACACCGTTCTACACAAAAGTCTGCTGTAATGACGGGGGAGTGCAGCTTGGCAAATGACCCTGCTCCATGTAGATTTCCTTTGAGCCAGGGGACATTCAATGTCAAAAAATTTCAGGCTTGGGTCAATAGAGTGTTTCTTTATGCCTATCAGTATCCCCATTTAATATAATTACTTTAGAATAGTACCATATTTCTGCAGTTAAATAGCATATTATTTCTGACTTTTTGGAATTCTGATCTGCTGAAAGGAGAAGAAATTCAGAAGTTTAAAGAATAGAATGTGTTCTATAAATTAATATTAGGATCTAAAATTTGCTACTCAGTTTTATAGATGTACATAGATATTACAAATTTATATATGCCACTGACAGTCCATTTTACTTTTGTGATGTTTAACAATATTTTACAATATAAAGGTTCAGAGAATCCATCAGAAGAGCATTTGTCGTAAGGAATGAATTATTAATAACTAGAACTGCATTTTCTGTGCAGATCTGAAATTTATGTTATGTTACAGTTTACAGTATATTCTTAATGGCCAAAAATCTCAGCGCCCAGCAGTTTCAGTTCACAGAAATAACACTGTACTGTTGTTTGCCACAGAGTCAGAGTGGACCACAAATGCACCGTTGTGGCCTTGTGATAAAATGGACATCCTCAATCGACACAATCTGTTACATACCCTAGTGCACAAATACTTGAGTAAGAGTCTGTACAGGCAGGCATTTGAAGTTCTGCAGAACTTCCCAGGTTTGCAAAAACATTCTGGTAAGTAAAGAAAAAGGTACTGTGTTAAGACTTAAAAATTTAACATATGATTCTATGCTCTTCTTTCTGTTTTCCAGCTAAAATTTGTTGAAGAAGTAAGATGGTTTCAGACAAGCCTGGGTTTTTTTCCAGAGTGTTGCATGAGTTTGAATTCTTATTTTACTCTGCAGCTCTTGCCACACGTGCACTCTCACACACCCAGTGTTTGTACACCTGTCCTCTTTTTCCAATTGACTTAATTACACAGGGCAACAGGAAAGACCCATTAAATTTTTAAGGATCATACAGAGTCTATACAATGCAATCAAATAGGGATATAATTGGCATGATTAATTTTATCCTAATTTCAGATGAATGCCTTAGGGTTTTTTTTTCCTATAACTGAGGCAGCTAACCTAGACATCTTTTACATACCATGCTAAGAATAAGTGCTCTTTTGGGCTCAATTTATCTTGCAAATTCTGGACAAGTACTTCAAAATGAGATGCATAGTTACTTAAGCTCCACTGAGGAAACCTCAGCTGATTCCTCTGTGTAGGTCTCATTCTGTTGCCAGTGTGTGCTTTTAGGAATGTCAGGAGAGGTTGGTTGGAAGACCATCTGCTTAGAGAATACTGAAAGAATCTAGTTTTTTGAGGCATGAGGTGGATACAAGTCTGCTCAGTCCTGCCAGGAAAGGGACAGTTCAGAGTAGAAGCAGAAGTGGAAGCACTAAGGTAATTTTTATTGGTGAGAGTTTTAAGCCTGAGAGATCAGGTAAAGATTGTATTTATAAGCTTGAGCAAGTGAATGTATTTTTATCTGATCTCCTCTTGGTTTTGGCAGCAAATTGTTACTTGGACCTTAACACTTCTCTTTCACAATATAAATGAACTAGTGTATGAAAAAACTTCTGATGAAAAAAGAATTCATGTTATCCCATGTTCCATTTTGCTGATAGAAGCAAGAGTCCTCATTTAGATACTGATTGGGAAGTGATTCTTCAATTAGATTTGCATTTGACTTCAGTAGTTAATATTCTTCATTTCATTTCAGATATTGTAGATGTTTCTCAGTACAGCTGCCTTTTTAACAAGCTGATAAATGCCTGTTTTGAGAACAAGAGCCTTGGGGTCTCATCCTCTGCAGTAGACTTCATGCTTTCAAAAAAAATTGCTATTGATTTTATTTTACTTAGAAGATTAATCACAGCTTTGGGAAGAAGTTCTTTGTGGTCTAAAGCTAGGACATATTACAAAAGTAAGTGGCTTCTTAAACAATGTCCTCCCCTTACAGTCTTTGGATAACATCTCAGTATGTTGGGAAGAAATGGGTAAGAGAAAAACAGTACTTTCTGTGTCACTCTCAGGAATTTATTTGTAACCAAAATATTTATTAGGAAATAGTTGAAAATAAGAATCATCGCATACTACCTGGCATGAAATAAATGTAATTTTGATAAAACTAATTTTTTATATTCAGTTTCAGATTTTCAGAAATGTGAACCCTTGAAATGATTGAAAATAGCATCATCTTCACTTTTTCATCTAGGCAAATTATATTTACTTATACATCTGTTTAGAGCTGTGGTGCTAAAATTATTTATGTAAGATTTGAGAAGTCTGGCTAAGAAGTTTATCCTAACTTTAAGAAAATGCTTTTCAACTAAAAGCTAATAGTCAGAAATTGTTTTCAATTCCCCATTTCTGAGCTAAGATAATACTGGGTGTGCCACTCTGCTGGGGTCCACCAAGAGTTGTTGCTCCACATTGTCACATTATTTACTGTTTGATTCTGTCTTAGAATTGTGGTGGTTAGCAGTCTACTTTGAGTCCATCCCTCTTGTTCTTTTTTAACCTTAAAATGATAGTTTTTCCTCATCTCTCTTTTTTTTTTCCCCCCTAAAATGCTGTATATGTAGGTTGGGTTGCTGGGGTCACTTAACAGAAGTTAGGGGAAAAAAGCAGGAGATGCTGTTCAAATGTTCTCTCACTTTGATCATGATTAATAGAGCTTCTGTCTGACCTGCCCTAAGCTGTACTTGTGTTATTACACACTTGGTGTCTCCAGAATTCTGTCAGAGCTTTTTAATCATAGCTGATAATACTCATGGAAAAAAATAACATTTTACAACAGTGAATATTATGTGTGAATACTATTTGCTAAGTTCTCAAATCAGGCCACTTCGTCAGTGAAATAGTAAAATCTATTAAGGGTTTGGGTTTTTTCCACGTTTAGTCACACACAGAAGAAAACAGATCTATGTTAAGTACTGGTGGTCCTAATTCCTCATGTTTCTGTATTTATTCTCAGATGCTTTATCATTGGGTTGCTACCCACAGCTGCAGGGAAATTCATACCACAAACTTTTGAAGATTCCATCTTACCTGTCTGAAGTTGAGATGCTGTTTGCCATTGAAATATTTCTTGTTTCAAATGCCAGTTATATTCAAAGTCCAATGACTACTAGTCAAACTTTTCAAATAATACTGAAAAGGTTTGTTGTCATATATGTACCATTTTGATTGTTCATGTTATGAGGTAATTAACAAGAGATCCTATTTTCCACTGTCTAGGAAAGAGGATGCTTGGTTTTAAACTTGTTTTTAATCTTTGTTTCTGAATTGGGGGGGGGTTATCATTATAATTTCTACATGTGTGTAACAGAAAAGTAGTTGTTCCAGAGTGACAGTGACTTGTGTTTCCTAACTGAATGTGTCTACTGCACTAAGAATGTACTGTATATTCAAAAATGGGATGACTTGATGCGTTGCTATATAGATTGTTGTGTTGTGGTTAAGTACTGGAGTAGAAGGGCACAGTCAAAATGTTAATTCTTTCAAAAAACAACTCTTAACATTTCTTGGCTGTTTTTTTGAAAGTGCATGAAGCCATTTTATTTAATTTTCTTTATGAGGGATAGCTCAATATTAAATTTATTAGTATTTTCTTTTCCCACTTTCTGTGAGTCTTAATACATCCAGATTAGAAATGTGTTTTGTTGCTTTTTTTTCCATTTGTCTGTAAACCACCAATCATTGTCACTAGGTTATACCTGTAATTTTATTTTTCAAGACCCACTTTTCTCTGGGACTGACTGGCTCAGCATCAAAATGTAACTGCATAGAAAAGCTACATTTGTTAAGAACTATGAACAAGTGCATCTCCAAAACTGTAGTATTTTGTCTTCCTTCCTCTCTATCCTTCCCAAGGAATACACCTCTTAATTTTGTTCCTTTGATAAATGAGGAATTTTTTATCTCTTGTTTTCATATGTATGCTATTGTACCTCTGCTTGTTTTCTTAAAGAGTTAAGTTCTGCTCTTGCAAAAAAATACAGGCATGTAGCTTAGGCACAGCCTTGTTCCAAAAGTGATTACATGCCAAAAATTATTAAACCTTTTTGGTTTGCATTCCTTTACTGAATTTTCCAGCCCAGAGACAAATATTTTTTCATGAATTGTGAATATTGCAGAGCTACTTTGGACTGGCATTAAAGCCTACTACATTTCATTACTGTAAAATATATTAAAAATATACTTTTCTAACTTTTTAATTCTTCAGAATAATAATCTAAAATCTGTCTAGAAATTAACATAATGTATTATCAGTGAAGTGAATACATGGATTTATTTTAATATTTCTGTAATCTTGCTGCCAGTAGAGTGTCAGGCAATCAACACAAGGCCTGTATGGTACCTAATTTTGTATTTGTGAAAATTCTCTTACAGATGTGAAGATCAGACAGTTCAGGATAACAGTGCCTATCAAGTGGCAGTGGAGAGACTGATTCTAGCAGCTCGTTTATCTGATCCAAAGCTTTTTCTTAAGCATATGACAATGAATTTTAATATGGAAGAAGTTTACAGCCTGGAGCTTTCATCTGCTCTAAAATGGCTTCAGGAGAATATGAAATGGGCTGAGGAGGTCTGGCTGTTTGGTAGTCATTAAATAGTTAAGACTTTTTTTTTTTTTTAATGGTTAAAGCAATCATTCTTCAAAATAATACAGAGTAATAAAGGCAGTTCCTTACAGATTGACAGCAACGTTTCAAACTCAAGTTGTGCTTTTAAATACTGATATTGATGATAATGCAGATAGTAGCCTAAAAAGAGTAATTTTTTTTCCCTAAGTACATAAATGTCACACTATGTTCTGTAATGACATCATTAGATATTGAGGAAGCTGCAGCCTCAGAACCTACATTCTCCTTTTTTACAGAGAATCTAGTACGAACTTGTTTCTCCCAGCAGGTGATAGTGTAAGTGTAGTATAAGTATAGGTAAGTGCACTGATGGAGTGTATCTACTGTTCTTGAGTGAGGTATTTTCCACATTGCTTCATAGTCTGTAGAAGTAATACGTTTCCTTTTGTCTTCCTCACAGTAACTTGTGAGGATGTTGACCCATCTGTGTGCACCTTAGATGTTAATTTCCTTACTGCAAGATCCCAGTAAAAAGCACTGAGATGAAAATAACTTCAAAATCGCTTGAGATATGCCCGACTTAGGACACCTTTCTTCACAGACACGTGTTGCTCACAGATGAAGGGTTAGTTGTATCTTGATAATAGCTTGTGTGTAGCTTCACAATTGTATATAGGGGTACTTCCACTGAAAAGGAAAACTTGCTTTCTCCCTTGGTTATGCTCTTAGAGGAAGGTGAGTTTGCCCATTTTTTAGTTTCTGCCAAATGCACGATGAGATGAAGGCTTCTAGCAAGCTTGTGCCACCATTCCTGGTTCTTCGGGATTTCTTTTTTCCCACCTGCAAATTCTGAATCCGATTTGGAGCATGAATTGCTCAAGTCACACTTCATCTACTGATCTGCGGCCTGAGTAAGAAGAGACACACATTTCTTATCAGAAGAACTCTTGTGGCAAATCAGTGGGACCTCTGTCAAAGCTGATAGTTGCCTGAGCTCCCCATTTTATGTAGTGTTAGTTTAGATCTCCAGTACCAACCTTGACAAACATGCCAGTAGTACAGCTCTTTTCATCCTCCTCTCCATCCCTTTCAAAGCTTTTTGTTCTGAACAGTTCTGCTCTTTTGGGTAGAGAAATTCACATGTTTTTAAGGCTGTTCCATCATAAGGGAGATCAAGGTGGTGTAGCATAAGACCTGAATGTTTGAAAAATCTTTACCTCCTTTGGGGCAGCATAAGTCTCTTCCCAGTTCCAGGAGCATTATTGCAGGTGTCCTTTGTGCCTCTGAATTATGAAAGCCACCTTGATCTTATTCCTGGATGGTTGTGGAGGGTTTTGAAGGGGTGTTGGTGGTTCTTCTCTTTGGGGGAGGTTGCCACTCTTGTCTTAAGGTTCATGCCATTAATCTGATGTCATGAATCTCATCATCAGTTCTTAGATTCCTGGCCCTCTTCAGGGCCAGGTTCTGACCTTCTTCAATACCACTGCTCATCCAGTCTGTCTGGGAGTTGCTACTGGAGGAGAGGATTGACTGCAGTGACAGCCAAGATCACTACTTTTCCTCCTGTGCCACCTGTACAAAAAAAAATGCAAAGATAGAGGCTCTTGTGTTTTCATTCTTCTGTGAGGATCTCATCTGCCTTCCCTCTAAAAAATGGTGGATTCAGTAATAACAATCAGATGACATTTCTTTAAAAGCCCCTTACCTCAACATTTCTTGAAGTACAGTTGGCACTAGTTTAAACAAACTTTGGGTTCCACCCCTTTGGTATTCAGCAAGATGGCTCTGCCATTTGTAAGGCCATCTACCTGGTCAAATCCAATTGCATTTGCTTCCCAGGAGCTGAAGGACTGGGTAAGAAGTGACCAGGTTTCCAGTGAGGGATCTAAACTGATATTCTTGCAGCCACTCCAGCATTAGTGATGAGCAATTTTGGAAGCTTTCAACGAACTAAAACTGGTAGTGAGAAACTAAGTAATTTTTGCTAATTGCTTTTTGTAAGATCCTTAATTTCCCTTGGAAATTATGAGGCTATCTGACCCTCAGCTAAATCCCACATTTCTGCAAGCAGTACCAGATGTGGCTAATACTGTGTTTGAGAGTTGCAGAAGGACAAAAATTCTCTTTGTAATCTGTATGGCTTCAAATCTTGGGATGTTCTAGAGGCAGCAGAATTTTTTCCACTGTAAGCAACCTTGAATTTTCACTTCGATCATCCCCAGAAAAAATATTCAGATGTTGCTTACTTTTTCAGACAGAGGTTAATCATTGACCTTCAGGTTTAACTTAGAACTGTGTAAAATTTTTGCAATGTTCTGGCTCCATCTCCTGAGTATCATTTTCAGCTGATAGGATGTAGTCTCAGTCATGTTTTGTAGTAACAAGCAATGCAAGCTCCCCATATCATTGCTTAGAAGTTTTGTTACAGCTGGGGCTTCTGGTGTTTCTGGCAATATAGTGTTTCTCCCTTTAGATATATATACATGAGAAATAAATATATATATGAGAAATATATATATACACACGTGACAAACCAGTAGGCAATTTAAAAAACTTTGCTGTTAAGTCCTGTATTTCACATTTTTGTACTGTCTAGGTCTTCATGAAATACAGAACAATTCTGGCCATTTTGATGTGTATCAAAAGGCCAGAAAGGTTTCTTGAGTAACATTCTCGGTATTTTGGTAACAGAAATTCCATGTGCCAAACAAGACAAAACTCCAGTGTGGAATGGAAACAAGCCTGGAAAGATGGAAAAATGTTCTGAAGAGTAAAGTTAAGTACAATAGAGACAATGCAGTTTTGCAGAGCCAGCCACTCAATATATTGACAATATCCATATTTTTGCTTTTTCCCAGATGTAAGTTAAGCTGAAAGAACTTCTGTTTTTGACTTTAAGCAACTAATTTGATAAAAATTTTCATACAGGAAATAAAATGTATGTGTACCTTTTTGCAGAGAGAGACAGAAAAATGTGCAAATAAAAAATTTCCTATGTTGTGCTTGGTAGCTTGGTGTAGACAACACTGCGCTCCTTTGGAATGTTGTTAGATGCATGAGAAATTGCCTCTGTGAAAATATTTTTCAGTTTTCACTGATTACACGGTATGCTCTTGGAAAGATTGCTTTTGTTAGGTATGGACAGTTTCTTGTAACTAAAACAGAATAATGGGGTTTGAAAGGCTTACCACAGTTTTATTTCAAAGCACTGATAGTTTTGAGAGTTTCTGAACCCACATGGGGGACGGAGGTGAAAAGCTGGAAATAAGAGCTTGGCACTGTGTTTTATAAAGAGCAATTGGGGGGGGGTCCCTTTGGAGAAGTTGTTAAGATGTTAATAAATGGTTTTTTATTCTTTATATAAAATATTCAAGATATCTGAGTGTCTGTATTGTCATTAAATTATTTAATTCTATTCAGATCCCTATTCAGATCCCTGTAATTAACATTCTTAGGTATGTGGGAGGATGGGGAAACAGCAAAGTAGATGTGGACAGTTTAATATCTTGTAGCTACTACAGGAATCTGGAGTATGATATGCTGCATGAGGAGGTTAAGAAAGTGTGAAATCAGTCAGACTATGCAGTTTTTAACCACACCAGAGCACATAGTGTAGCAAATGCTCATGAATAAATTGGGCTGGAACTCCCAGCTGTGGAGATGGCCACCTTCCAGTTGTCACTGTAGACTTGAGATGAGGCTACAGCCAGGGGTACAGGCTGTGCTCAGTTTACTGAAGAATTCAAGTGGATGTCAGTGAGAGTTTCACTTGAGGAAAAAGAATAAAATGTATAGTAATGGAACTTTAATTACTAAAATCTTAATGCCATACTCCTCATCTTAGTAAAATAACGGCCACATTAAAAGCAATGACTACTTCACATCTCTTGTCCTTTCACATTCTCCAGATGCATCTTGCGTCATCACGGGTTTGGGTTTTTTGGGAGTTTTTTTTGCAGATCCCAGCTCTACATTTTTCAGTCTTACTTCCTTTTCCATTACTTTCTCTAAAATTGCTAGAATGATGAGTAGTATAAAAAATTAATGCTGACATGATTGGTCTCAGGGTTCTGTACCATTGCCTGTGACGGAACTGTTTCTCCAAGAAACTGATGCTACTTTTTGACCTGCAGATCCAGGACCGAAACAAAGGAATGAGGAGAAAACAGCTCCATTGCCACTTGTAGCAACTTAGAATTAAGCAAAAAGAATGCTTAAAATTCTCCTTCTGTTAGGGAACAAGCAGTCAAAATACAAACTTTTTCAGACGATAATTTTATCTGGTATGAAACAAACTTTCAGTTTGGAAATCTGTGCTGCTTGCTGAGCCAGTGGGATGTGTCCTGGGTACAGATAGGGAATAACACAACCAGATAAAGCCACAGCACTACTCCCGTCACACAGTAAGTGCTGAAACTTAACTAAAAAGCAGGAATTAATTCCTGTGCTGGGGCAGAGGGAGGAAGCCTCTCTTTGGGAATACGTACCCTATGCAATGGAGCTGCTGTCTGGCAGGCCCACTTGCTGATGACGTCTCCCAATTTATTTTATTCCTCAAGAAGTTAAAAGAAATCCCAGGTGAAATGAACAGCACGGTTTTCTGTTGAATCAATTAAATTTATTTTTTCATCTGCATAATTATGCAACCAATTTGCTTACATAACTGATTGGCTTCTGTTGTGAAGCAAAAAACATGCTGCACATTATGGAAATTAAGAAAATCCCCGAAGGGCTGTGAGAGTGTTAACTTGATTAAAAGCTTCACTGAACTACAGTTAGTTCCTAAACCTTGTCAGTCCTCTTTTTAACCTTTTCTGCCTAGAAGTGCAATACATTGCATGCAAATAACTCCAGTCCCTAGCAGTTAATATCCCTTTGTTTTCTAACTCTTGTCAGCAACAGGCATTTTTGCTTTGAGGTTCCATATCCCTGTATGAGCTGCATTTTGACAGCAGCTATCTTGGAAGAAAAATAGATGTGTAAATGTATGTGTACATCGAGCATTAGTAACACAGACATAGTCTTAAGCTGCGCCAGGGGAGGTTTAGGTTGGACATTAGGAAGAATTTCTTAACAGAAAGGGTGATTAGATATTGGGATGGGCTGCCCAGGGAGGTGGTGGAGTCACCGTCCCTGGAGGTGTTTAAGGAAAGACTGGATGTGGCCCTTTGTGCCATGGTCTAGTTGACACGGTAGGTCATAGGTTGGACTCCGTGATCTCTGTGTAACTGCAGGAAAACGGCTCTTGCGTTCCCATCGGGACCGCAGAGCTCACGGCTGGTTCTTCGCCCACTTGGTGTTCTCTTTCTGCAGAAAGGCAACGTGAGGCGCGCGCAGGCATTTGAATAAACCGCTCCCATCCCCTCTGCGGAACGGCAGACATTTCTTGTGGCGAGGGTTTTCCCTTCCGCGTCCCTGACGAACTACTGCAGGCACAGCTGTGCGGCCCGAGGCAGGACCCTCTGGAATGGGAAGGAACACTGCTTCCCACGGCAGCCCCGAGGAGCGGGGCCTGCGCGTGCGCTTGCGCGGAGCGGGGCCCGGGAGGGGAAGCGCTGCCCGCCCCGGGGCGGCACCGCCCACTGCCGATGGCCACGCCCACTGCCGATGGCCACGCCCACCGCCTGATGGTCCTGCCCACTTGTCGGCCCCGCCCCCCGGCGGGAATCCCCGGGCCCGCCCCCTGCGGGGCCGTCGGCGGGGGCGATGGGGCCGAGCCCCGGTGGGCGCCGTCCGGCCGCGGCGGTAAGCGGGGCTGGGCCGCGGGTCTCGCCGCGCCTCTCCTCGAGGGGAGGGCAAGGGGAGGAGGGGATCGGGGAAGGCAGCGCGACCTCACCGCCCTCCTGCTCGAGAGGCCCGCTTGGACAGCGGCGACGGCGGCCGGAGGATGGTGCGAAGCCGAGCCCGGGCGGTGGGGGGGTGCGGGAGGGGGAGCGTATGCTTTGAAACCGGGCCGGGCTCCGTGGCCCCGTCCCCGCCGGCGGGGCGGGGGGTGCGGGCCGGGGCCGGAGCGAGCCCGTGCGCCCGGGCACGCGCGGGCCGTACGTGCGCCTGGGCACGCGCGGGCCCGGCCGGCGGCACCGGGGGTCGGATCGGGCCGGATCGGATCGGATCGGGCGTCACTCGGATCGGCTCCGCCGGGCTCGGGTCGGGCTCGGCTCGGCTCGGCTCTCCCCGGCTCGAGCTCGCTTTGGCCGGACTCGGTTCGTTCCGGCTCGGTTCGGCTCTGCCCGCTCGAGCTCGGCTCGGGGTCAGTGGTCCCTTCCTTTCCCGTGCCTTTTTGCTGAGGGTGCGAAAGGCCCGCGAGCCGGGGGTTGTCAGTTCTGCCGTCTGCTGGGAACACCTTTTCTTTAGTGAATCTTAAGGTGAATTCTACCGGGGCTCTGTTTTCAGTAGCTAAAACTGTCTCTGTGGCCGGGCCACTGTTTTCTTTCAAGCAGCGAGTGAGTGAAGTTGGCCCGAGCTTATTTTCTGAGCCGCTATCATCTTGTTTATTTTCAGTCTTTTTCCTCAGTGCTGCCTCGAGTATAGGTGAGCACCCGATATAGACACCCTCGGCCCGAGGTGAGATAGCAGCGATGTGCAGCGCCGTGTTGCCGAAGGGTTTTGCTGAGTGACTGTACGTAGTTAATATTTTGTTCTGTGTTAGCAAGTGCGAGTGACTTTGAGGTGGGGTGCAGGTGAAACTTGGTCAAGACCAGGAGCTTTTGTTTTTTAACTAAGCAGTGTACCAATTTCCAAGCAGCATTTGAAGCAAGAAACAATGATGCTTTTGTCTGGTTATATAAAGCGTCACCGCGGATTGAGATGGTTTTTTCCATCCTCTGCCCAAATGCCTGAAGCTAAAATTACAGAAGGAGAAAACTTTTATTACCAGAGAGCTTGTTAATGTATTTAACTTAGTTTATGATCAGGACTGTTGTCACAGACACTAAAAATGACATTATTACAGTCTTGCCCACCTAGCTGAAAATCAGAAGACAAAAATTATTGAGTAATCTGGGGTTATTTTAGCCCAGCGTATTTTTTTCTCCCACTATCTGCTTCTAGTAAAACCACCTCTTGGTTAAGTATATTTTTATTACTAAGTTTTAAAACTTCAAGTGTTTTGCAAGGCAGTCACAGGAACTATCACGCCGTATTGGAACATGGATGGTGTTTCTCTGATAACTGCTTATCTCAGCTTGAAAACATCATACTTAGCAAGCATGTTATTTTGAAAAGTGCAAACAAAAGTATATTTTTCAAAAAAGAGTGCGCGAAAACATATAAGAAAACATTGCCAATAGGGAGCTTCCCTCATAATCCCTAATGATTAGGTGCATGTTTGCACTCTGACATGCCCAGTGTTTTGTCTACTGCTGGAAAACTCTCAACCTGCAGTTGCATAGTGCAGAAGTTACTGGTAAAAGTTGCTAATTCATTTTTATGAATGCCAGCAAACTTCTGATAAAAGATTTCAAGGCACTGTTGTAAGACAGTGTCTTTCCCTTTGTTTTTACATTGTGCTTCGATAAATTAGTTGGCATGTACATTTTAAAGTGTTATCATTTGTTTGAGAGTTTCGGACTTAGTAAAAATTTACATGGAATTCCATGAACTGGTATGTGTTAGTGCTTAAAGAAAGCCTCTGGTTTTTTGCTTTTTTTTCAGAACAAAACCTGAACATCAGGAAGAGCAGGCAACATTGTCCATAGGTAATTTTTAGGGTGGTTTCTTTTCCTAACTGGAATGCCTTTAAATATTCATCCTCAAAGCAAAATACGGTAACAACTCTTAATGTTGGCAAGACTCACTGTTAGTAGAGGAAACTGAAAACATTCTTACACAAACCTTTAGATTTTATGTGTGGTTGCTCAATTTTGTATTACTGTTGTGACTTTGAAAGTTACCACTTACGATTTAGGGAATGCACTGATAAGTAGCAGGGGAAAATATCCCTGTTTGTTACTAAACGGGATTTTTTTTTTCCTTTTCTTTAAGTGAGTTAGTGGATGGCTGAAATTTGGCTTGACTATTGAGTTGCTGAAATGTTTTGCTGCTTGAGAACCGTGAGAAGGTATGGCATGTTGCTGACTTAACTTACCTTTAGCATATGTATATGTATGTATGTTTTTGTATATGATTTACATATATGTGAAACTGGTTTGGTATTTTTGATCAGTGCTCATTTCTTTGACATTCTCATCTTTACAGCTTGAAGCTTTCAGCAGAGCATCCACAGCTGAAAATCCCCGAAAGCCATATGCCTGTCCTCGAGTGAGACAATAAAAAGGCTCTCAACAAAACAAGGGTTTTAAAATAGCTTAATTTTGAGACAGGGTAGTCCAAATATGAATAGGATGTCCAATATGTTACTGCACTATTGAGTTATTAAAGCTCAGTGTTTAAAAAAGTGTGAATATGCCTATAACTATGAGCTTAATTTAGCCAAGCTTTTCAGTGCCAAAACTATAAGCCAAAAAGTTAAACTTCAGAGAGATGTGAAAAAAAGAAAGCTGGAGGGAATTATTTAATCAATAAATTAAATCAGCCCTAGAGTGTAATTGCATAATGTGTTGTAGTAGAGATTGTGTTTCATATCTTTCATGAAGTGGAGACACTGTCCTCAAAGTGGTTATGACCTTGATTTTAATACGAAGCCTTTCTCTGCTCTTCAGATCTAAATGAACCTCTTGGAACAATCCTTGTTCCTTGTGAGTGAAGCCATAAACATCTTTCTTGCGTTTAATCTCTCTAAATCCATTTTAATTCCAATTAAATATTTTGTCACTTCAGTTGAAAGATGCCTCAGAGTTCTGTCTTTCACCTTCACTGAATGAATTCTTCCTTCTGTCATGCAGACTAATTTTGGCCTTTGAGCATTTCTCTTTTAAGCAAGTTCAAAATAGACTTCTGGCTGGAATCCTGAGCCTTCCTACTAGCATGACAGTGTTGTTTAGATACAAAACAAGGGAACTAAAGCTAGCCATACTTGGCCATTTTTCTTTTAGAATAGCAGATGGAACTTTATGATTAATAAACTTGGAATTTCCAGGTGTGTTGGAACTTTTTACCTGAACTACTGGAAAGAGCATGCAGTGTAGCTTAGGAGTGGATGAGGCAGATAGTGTATAAATAAGGTGAACAGTGAACTGAGCTCTTCTTCCTCCTGGCAAGGTCTAGGAGGATGTGAATTTTTTTGCATAGCTGTTACTCAAGACTGATTTCAGATAGAAAACTGGTTAATTTACTTTCTTTCCTTTGCTGAAAGAAATTTTTTTCCTTTTACTATTCTGTGTCCATTTGCTAAAAAAAAAAACAACTGCAATTTTTTTTTCTCGGCAAGACAATTATTTTGGTGTTACCATACCCAGAACGTAGGACCACCAGTGTGCTTTGCTTCCTTTCTTGCCAGATCTAGTAGAAATATTTTTCCTGCCTCACTGAGCAACTGTGGCACTGTCATTGAGAGCTTTCACTCTTCATAAGAACACGATATGTGATACTTCACCATCTCCTGCTGTTTTGAGTAGGATCATGGGCTATAGTGATGACTAGTCTTAGAGCTTCTGAGATGTAGTCAGGAAGGAGGTAGAAGTGTTTGCCAGTAATACTTTTTTTTTTTAAATTCTTCCACTTAATTCACACACGTGAAAATTGTTAGTGATAACAGATTTGAAATTTCATCAGTCTTCTTGCATCACAGATTTTCTGTCCCACTTTTCTACAAAAACTTCTGTTTTCAGCAAGCCGACTTTTCAGGCCTACTAATTAAATATTTCCTCACCTCTTAGGCAGAAAACATTAGTCTTAACTGCTTTTATGTATCTAATTGAAGAGCTGGAAAAGTTGATAGAAAAAAGGTAAAGTGAGGGTCACTGCATTTGCTTGACAACTCAACCATTGGCCAAAATGAAAAATTCTCCTTATTGTCCGAGCACAAATTTGGGGATTTGGGGGATTTTTTTATTTTTTTTTTAAATTAATGACAGCAGTCAGCAAAGTCTCACATGTTTCTGTGTCCAGGATAATTATTTGGTCTAGGATGCTGAACAAATAGCTGTGAAACAGTCCTGCTAACTATTATTAATAAGTTATTAGTTTTATGTGAATTGGAAGCAACTTTGCCTCCAATCTGCCACATATTTAGGGTTTGCAGTTTGAATGATACTGTGAGGAGTGAAACAGCATTCTACTGCTTAACAGAGCAGAGTCCCTGCCCTTCTGAGTTGCAAATGAAAATAAACATTAATCACAGAAAACGGCCTGTTGAATGTGTTAACTTATAAAATCAGCTGAAGGAGAAACCTATTATTGAATATTTACCAATTCACATTTTCTTGTTGCTTTTATATACACTGTCTCTTGGTAATTAGTTTGCTAAACCTGAATATCACCTTTGAGCCATGGCAGGAAATTTTGGTGGTCTTTAATGCAGAACTCATTTTTCTTTCCATTTCAGTCCTCTGTTACACAAGTGTGCTTGTTATAGAACTGTTGTTTAATTTCTGCATAATTGGAGGTATTCAATAATTTGTGCTTTCTGAGCTACGTAGAACTTCTTCAACTTAATTTTTCCTCCTAATCTTAGGTGAATAAATCTTCGTTTCCTACCACTGAAATTTCTTTTAGTCCTTGTTTCTTCTAATTCAGTGAAGATTAAAAGGCAAATAAATATTGTCTTTTAACTTGATATTTTCTATAAAAGGATGTTTAAGAAACTAGATTTTTTTTTTTTTTTTGTAATGGACACAAGTATGGGAAACTCAGAAACTAATGTAGAACTTTTTTTGACTGAATTGTGATTATTATTCCGGGGTAAAATCTAATATTCTTTTGGCACTGCTTGAAAAATACTAGGTTTGGCTTTTAACGTGGAGGTTCTAAAATATATAAGGACTGACTTTTAAGAGAAGCATCAGGAATACCTACAAAAAATACCACTAAAGCCAATATCTGTAATTTGAACTTCTTGATTGGGGAATTTTTCTTTGAGAAAGTAGAGGGAAAAGTTACTGTACTTATTAACATGTCTTTAATCAGCCATTAGCATCCACCATCTCTAGAACCTGTTGGATTGGCTCTGTTGAAATACAGCTTTGTGAATCCTAAGGGGGAAGAAAAATCCAGAACTCAGACTTCTGATATCAGTTTTAAATTATACTTGCAATTGTGAACATTTACTCAATTCTGTCACATTCTAGTGTAATTTGTTTTGTCACTTGATTGGTTGCATCATACATAAATATTTTATTACTTAATTAGGTTATGTCTGGACAAGATATTGCTACAGTGTGTTCTTCAGGCAAGAACTTTGTCAGGAGCTGATGCCATCAATGCTCTCAGACCTTTCTATTTTGCTGTACATCCAGATTTCTTTGGCCAGCATCCCAAAGAGAGGGTAAAAATCTTTTAGTATGCTTTCTCTGTAAATATTTCATGTATCAAGGACGGAAATTTTCTAGTTTTCCTGCTCTCAGAGAGACAAACATAGTGTTAGAATTTAATGTGGTTGTTACCATGGAACAAAAAGATGCACTTCCTTTATTTTTAGCAAGGATAGGGCCCTTAAATATCCATTATTTATTACTCATATTTTCTAATTGTTCTAAACAAAATACTGATCCTTCCAGACTAATTTATAATACATACTACTTTATCACTTTGAAATGCTGTTTATTATATTTGAATCAGTATATTTCTTTAAGCTTGACAGCCTGAAGAGTGCGTTTTGGAATGTACAAGTATGTACATCATACAGATTTGTTCATGGAAGATAATTATTAATGCTAAGAATATAAACTGTATCACTACTTGCTAAGAGCATCTGGCATTTTGTAAGAACTGATTCTGCCTGTAAGATTAAAAAAGGTTTAAATGAAAAATTACCAAATTCATCATCTGTAATGGTTTGTTGTTTGTTTTTGTTTTTAAATAGGAAGTAAATGAAAACTCTCTGAAGAGGTTAAATGGCTACTTGGAGAACCTACAGAAACCAGGATTTCGTTCCTTGAAGCCAACTCAGCTTACTTTTTATGTAAGAGAAACAGAACCAAACTCTTCTAATGTTCAAGAATCCTTCAGTGCTTCAGGTGCTTTTATATCGTGCAGAATGTATCTTCCTGTATTTAAATTCTTTCCGACCATTACTTAGCCTTGTGCAGTCATAAAGACTTCTCAACTGAGTAAAATCCAGTCAAACCATGAAAATATGTATTAGATCAGACAGCTGGGACCATCCCAAGTAATTAAACATCTAAGCTTTAAAAAGCATTGAAAGAATGAGACATTACAGAGTTGAGGTCAAGTTACAGTATGAGAAAGTAAAAAACATAGGTGGATGTAAATGATAATTTTTCTGCTTTTAATACCATTGTCATGTTTAAGTGGAACAACAGTTGGGTCCTTATCCTCAGTACACAACGTCAGGGTACTTGTAGGATCAATAGGAACTTATTCTGTAAAGCAGAAGCTGTATAATATCTGAAGCTTCAATTTACCAGATTGTCTCTTATCTTTGAGACTACAAAAAATATTGCCAAATTTGGAATATTGCTTATGATTAATTTTATTCTGCATATTTGTCTCGGGTGGTACCAATATGCCTTACCTAACAGATGAGTTTTACATTCTATATCCTGACAATTAAAACACTTGAGCGAATTGTGAGGGACCCTAGTGCTAGGTCTAGAAAATAAAATCATACTGTTTTTCAAGAAAATAGTGTTATGTTCAGTCTGCTTAATGTAACATTTGAAGTGGAAGCTGTCTTCTGCTCTTGAGTCAAGAGCTTGCTTTCTAACAGGGCAGTTTGGCCCAGTAGCTGTGATGAGACATAGTTAAACTGCACGTAAATTTTGCAGTGAGTACTGAAATAACAGTATCATAATAATTTCCAACTATCTGTGCCTTGTTTGGTTTCTCATGTAAGGAGAGAAATGTGAATGCATTTTAAATAATTTTAATTAAATAATACTTGTGTTTTACAGGGTTTCGAGCAGTCAGTTTTACGTTACGTACTAGGGATCTCCTGAGCACAGTATTAGATATTCTCAACTCCTGCAGTTTATCTACAGAGCATATTCAGAGTTTGAATGTGAACTCTCAGCCACACAAGGAAGCAAAAAGCACAGTGAACAGACCTATCAAATGGGATAAGACTTATTATTCGTTTACTGGATTCAAGGATCCTGAGGAGGAACTAGAACAAGCCCAGAGAGTGGAAACAACTTTAATGTATGTAATGCTTTCATTGAACAGAAATTTTGTAGCCTAAATTGGTCTTATTCTACTGCCAAGTTCTTTAAAGGCAGGCAATAAGTATTCTGAACAATACAAAACTTTATTGTTCAACATGTAATTTTGTCATGCTTTTTATAATTAAAGAGAGTTTTCTAATGAGCTCCTGGGATAACTAGTGCCAGCTAAGCTGAGGCATTCTTGTGTCTTTGCCCAGCAGTCATGTTCGGTCAATCCAGTTTTGGTTGATTTAGCTTTTCAGATTTGTGGAATATTGGTGGCAGTTCAGAAGGAGACAGAGGGTCCACGTGCTCCAAATAGCTCCTTACCTCTTACAGTACTTCTGTAACACAAAACTATATGGCTCCTAACTTTATTGTTACTCTTTCATTATCACGTTCTGGTGGGAGTGAGAGATAATACATGAAAACTGAGGTTAAAAGGTTTTAATTTGCCAGGTATCTTAGTGTTGTGCTCCTCATTTGTTGTTCATCATGCCAACCTTAATATTTAAATTGATGCAGTTATACATACTGAACTTGTATTTAATGGAGCATATTGTGTATTAGAAATTGGTGCTCATTTTGGGACACATACACATTTTGTGGCCTTGAAAAACTTCTTGTAACTTTGTGTCATTTGAAATGAATGCAGGACTGTGCAGAAAGGTTCTTCAGAGCAAAGCATACCCCTTGTCCTGCATACCACTTCACAAATAAAGCTGCTTTAACATATGCAATTGTAAAACACTTAACTGAGGTTTAACATACTAGAGAATATTTTTGCTTAGTTTTACACATATACAAGAAATGCCACAAACAGTTACTTATTAACAATCTCCTTTGAATAACTATCCATTTGGCATTAGGCCTCTCTTTTTACTTGAGTTTGAAGTTTTTTGCTCAGAATACAATATTCGAATGGAAATATTTGTTTGTAAAAAATAAAGGTATGAAAATCAGTTTATGCTACGAACAAAGGCTAAATCTCTTAAAGAGTAACTTTTGCCTATAAATAGAATTATCTATTTATTGAAATTTTAGATGTACCTAATGAGTCATATTTGTCTGGTTGTGATTATTGTGATTATACTTTGACTCATTTAATCTATGTTCATGTCAGCTCTGTAGAAGTTACCTAACCTAGCCCTCTAGTACCACCTCTTGTATTTGGTAATCTACTATGATCACTTCAGTTGGGTTTTCCGTTGGAATTGGTCATGGCTTTTTTTTTAAAGGCAGGTACATGGAAGCTTCTTTCATTAAAACACAACATTCTGAAGCTGCCCCCTGAAATCACACTAATCTGCTTCTCTACCCTTTTCATACCTCTAAGTTTTACAGTTTACACTGTCAGTGTCTTTTGGTTCAGTTTGATTCCCTAGTCCCCTTCAAAGACATTAAGTACCAGGTTTTACTTTGTAGATATCTTCAGGTGAAGCATTCAACAATTTCAGTTTCTATCCTCTATTTTTAAAAAAATCCCTTTACCTGGTAATTTGAAATAAAACCTTTATGTTAGCAGTAAGAATTCAGTTACCTTTACTGTTTGCATGAAAGGTAATACAGCAGCATGCTTCTACTGTTGAGCATTTTTCCTCCTCTTTCAGATCCTGGCTAGATGATAATGGAGCAAGTGCAGTAAAAAAGCTGAAAAAGAGTTTGCCGCTTAGAAAAGAACTAGAACGTTTAAAATTTGAACTTTGTAATGAACTCCAGCTCTCAGATATCAGGTAATAATTTAGATCAGTTGGACCTGGATTAAGACAATCAAAGCAAGGAAGTGTTGCCTAATTCTACGCCATGAGCTTTAAAGACTCGTTTCAGCAAAAAAGCTATATTTCATACATGAAAAAGTGTTACTGCATTGAATATTTTTGTAGAACAATTCTTTTGGGACAAAAGTTTCCTGTTACAATCTGCTCCAAGAGATCTCGTATTTGTAACTAAAAATGTAGGCTCCAGTTGAGGCAAACGCATAACTAGAAATAGAACCTCTGCATATGTGTTAGTTTGGGTGGTGTTTTGCTGGTTAAAATTGCTCTTCCTGAGTTCAAGTTAATATCTACAAAGATAACTAGACTGGTGGTGAAATGCAACTTTGCCCATTGTACATATTGTGTGAATGTTTAATAAAAATGTTCCTCCTAGTGCTTTGTTTCCCACTCTCCAGAGTAGGAGCTATGTTTCCTTAGAAGGGCAGAGTACAGTTGGAGATCTTGATTCTTCAGAATATTTTCAGAAAATAATTTGCCATTGCTTTTTAAATTTTGTGCCTTGGACTGAGAATGTTCTGAAGTGTGATATTCAGTATGGGAAAATGGCAGTGGAGGTATTCACCAATGGAAAAATTAACTTTGGAGGGTTATTTCAAGGGCCAGTCTGTTAAGTTCTGTTTTTAAAAAAAGGAAAGAGAGTGTTGGAGCCTCTGAAATCATGCTTTTGTCCTTTCACCCTGTAAAAGGCCCTGGCTTCTTTTAAGCTGAAGCCAGTTTTTTTGGACACAATTTCTAATCCTCTGCAACTGTGCTGTGGTGAGGGTTTTTAAGATTCTGAAACAGTCTTCAGTATTAAACGCGTGCGTTTGATTTTATTCATTGCTTATATCTAATTTTCTTACAGTTTGTGCTTTTAAAATTCACTAAAACTATTGTGTTCCGTGCAGAGTTATTCACCTTCCATGAGTTATATTGTTATAATTCAGAAAAGAATGTGTGTGTTGGAAATCTGACAAACCAGTATCTTAATAGGGAACTGTTACTTGTGATATTGCCAGCGTTCACAGAGGTCTGAAAAATAACTGGGTCATTGGCTTTACTCCATGTATAAGTTTAGGACAGCTGAAGACATGCCACCTTTTTACATTCCCGTCTGGTGCTACTGAAAGCAAAGTGATATTGCTAGGTAACAGTAAGTAGTTGTTTGAATTACTTGGATTAGATTAAATTGCCTCACAAGTGCTGTGGCTTAGTGCCATTTCCTGCATCCCAAAGAGTGAGATTTTGCTAGTTAAATTTCCCCAAATGAGATAATCTGGGTTGACCCCAGCCAGCAGTTAAGTCCCCACACAGCCACTTGATACACCCCGAGTGGGATGGGAGAAAGGGAAAAAGGAAGAGTAAAACTAAGAGAATTTGTGGATTAAAGTAGAAGTTTTAATAGTGAAGCAAAGCTGTGAGTTCAAGCAAAGCAAAAGGAGGAATGAATTAACTGTTCCCCTGACAGAGGCAGGTGTTTAGCCCATTATGGGAGGCAGGGCTTCAGTATGTGTAATGCTTGCTTGGGAAGACAAACACCGTAATCATGAGGATCCCCCCTTCCTTCTCTGTTCCCTGTGCATTTATTGCTGAACACAACATAGGGTCTGGAATAACCCTTTGGTTAGTTGGAGTCACCTGTCGTGATTTTGTCCCCTCTCAGCATCTTGCCCACCCCTACCTACTTGCTGATGCTGGGGGGCAGAGTGGGAAGAAGTGAAGACCTGGACACTGTGCCAGCACTGCACAAAATATTGGTGTGTTATGATCACTGTTTTAGTAAAAATGCAAAAGATGGGTGCTGTGAAGAAAATTAACTCAATTCCAGACAGACCCAGTACAATAAGGGAATAGTAATTTCCTGCTTTGAGACAGTTTCATATCAACTCTGTAAAAGGGTGTATTTTTTCAATACACTGGGACAAATTCACAGTTTAAATGTTTTGCAATTTAGTTAGAAATCTGATCTGTCTGTGATGGAAAAGATGTCAAAACTGCCTATATTAAAGTCACCCAGGTAACACCTGGCTCCTCTATTGTTTAACAAAAATTATTCCACTTAAAATATAAATAATACATAGCAACTTTCCACTGGAATTATAGTAATGTTTTGGGCTAGGAACTCGAAAAAAACCCAACCTTAGATACTGTATTTGCTCCTCTGGATGAACATTACACAGTGTACAAATAAACTGCATGTTCCATGAGTGAGCCAAATAGAGTTGTCTGTCACTGTTTTCTTACTAACCCCCTTCTAATTGGGGGAGAGATTTACAAGTTCTGTTCTGTCTACCAGATTTTGTATTTGGTTTTCTTATATCTGTCATTGGTTTTCTTTGTTTTTTTGGCTTCACTTTAAGAAACACTGTGAAATTTTATTTAGGCTTTTTAACTGTTCAAATAACATATGACATAGACGGCTTTTCAGTAGCACTTGCTTTTATTACTGTTGAAGTGCTGTTTTATTTGTGTTATAAGGCTTTAACCTGCATCTCAACTTCTGTGATTTTTTTTTTTTTTAATGACATTGAGAATTAAATGCTTTCAATTGTATTTTTATTTAGGTGGCAGAGAAGCTGGGGTATTGCTCACCGCTGTAGCCAGCTGCACAGTCTAGCTCGCTTAGTCCAACAGCGACCTGAAGTATTGAAGAATGTTAAAGGTATTTCTGTTGCTGGTTTCATATATCCTAATACAGAATTTGTTTAGAGATGAGCACGGGTCTTCTGTGACAACAGAGCTCTCGTTCTTTTTGTAAATACCTTTCCTAAGTGCAAAAACAAACTTGCCAGGCTTACTGAAAAGCTGGTGAGAACTTTTAAGGTACTGGGTATTTTTTAAGGTGGTCTTGCCTTATAGTATGTTCGCTACACTCAGCTTCTAGTTTACTTCTTAATAAATGCAAACAGAGTGAGTTGAAGGCACCAGACTTAATATTAACAATGAAGGTAAAAAATCTAGTCTGAACCTCTGAAAGGGTGGAGGTAACAATAGACTGTTACCCATGGTAGATTCAAGACAAAAATGTGAGGAACTCTCTAAAGAGTCAGTATAATGAGGACTTACAAGAATACCTTTAAAGTTGTATTTGTTTTCTCTTCTCACGTGTGTTCCATAAAACAACTATATTAAAGTCTGTATTTTCTCAAGAAAAACTAAAGTATTCTGTAAACCTGACCTGCCATTGCTCTCATACAGCTGTTTGACCTGTGGCAGTAGCTGTTTCCTCTAATTGTAATTCCACATTTTATGCCTGTCTGCAGATAGTCAGTTTTGAGATGCTTTCTTTTGAGGGTGCACCTAATCCTTTGTCAAAAGACAGTGGGTAGGAGAATAAGTAGTAGTTTTAAATTGTATCAGGTTTCAAATTAGTTTCTCTTCCTAAGCATGCTAAGGATTTAAAGTGCTAAAGAAGTCTGTCTTGTGAACCAGTTGTAGTCTTCATCTTTGAAAATCTGTAATAATACACAAATACCTGTCAGTAATTATACAGGTACAGCTGATCTTGCCTTAGGGTACAAGAATGGATTAGATACCTTAAAACCAGTGCTGCTCTTTCTTTGGGAATTGGAAAACTGATTTCTGAGACCAAGAGCTTCTCTTTAAGCCTTGTCTTGTAGGTTAATACATCACACTGAAGACTTTTGTGGGAGCTTATTTTGATAAATAGTTAGTTGCCTGTGCTCTTACCCTAAAGAATTCTTAAGGATCTTTGTACTTCACTTAAAAAACCATACTCAGACTCAAAATTGATTTATCACCCTAAAAATACAACCGGAATTATCCTTTTTATGTTGTGTCTATTTTTTCTTTAAAAAAGGAGTGAAAACCTAATGTGAAATGAAAATTATTACAGCTTGCATGTTGCAGAGAGTTCCGTGAAAATGGTGTTGAATGGCTGTGCTAGTAGTTCTTTGACCAACATTTACCTTACTTATGTATACTTTAAACATAACATGTTTCTTACTGTATGCGTTATTTGTACAGATTCTTTAAATATGCTGTCTGCTGAGATTTTCTCTTATTTTAAAAGTAGTCATAAGAAAAAAATCCAAGTATCTAAAAAACTGTCAAGTTCAAACAGGGAGAAGGCAAATGCTAAGTCAGGTTTGTATGAAAAAAAATTCCGAAGCTAGACTTTTCAAGAATCTCTTTCAAACTTTGAGAATAACAAAAGCATCTACTCATGTGCATTTGTGCTGCAGAAATACATTGTGAGAATTATTGCAGTAACTCAGATTAATAAAGAGCTTTGTTCAATCTCTAGGGCGCACAGTGGTATTTACAGACCGCTCGGGTATGAGTGCAGCAGGTCACATAATGCTGGGGACCATGGATGTTCACCATCACTGGACCAAAGTAAGAGGATTTCAAAGTAAATGATAATGCCTTTTGTTATGACATCCTTTTTTAAACTATAACAAAAATATTAATAGGTGCAGATAACTGATGAGTAATTTAAAGCAAACACTTAGCTATTATGTTTAGCATCAGTGTGTACACTGCATTCTAAATTTAATCCTCTGTGTGCTGTTACTAACAACAGACTTTGTCAGATGTTTACTGCTGCTTTCATTAACAAGTCAGTACTACTCCTGATTAGATACAAAGAAAACTAATTTGTTATGCACCGTTCCAGTCTGTGCAGCAAGCACTGGCAGAATATTTAGTGATCCATAAAGAGCTCATTTCCATGAAGAACTAATGAATTTTATTCAGATTTTTCGTAAATATGAGATTTAAAGGGAGTTGTGAACTGATGATTTCAGTCAATGATGACTAACCAACCCCATCAGTCCATTTTGTTCTTTCAGGCAGCTAATGTGGATGTTGCAGAAATTTATCTTTAGTGACTATGCCAGTTCTGCTGCTGATTGTGTAACGTTCAGTTGATAAGCTTTCTGGAATTCTAAATGATAAAGTATTATATGCAAAGAACCAAAAATTAAATTTGTAGTGATATCAACGTGTCACTTAAGTAATTTTTCTTTAATCTTGGTTGCTGAAATATTATTGATAGTTCTGTCAAAAAATACTTCTAAAGGAGATAATTGGTGGAATTTCATACTAGGAAATTTCACCCTGCTAGAATATGAGAATATTCTATTTCTGTAGTCCAGTCAGTGAATAATATGAAAACTTGACACTCAGTCTTCTTTCTCTGGTTGTTGAATTTTCGCCTATATATGTTTCACTGAGAGAGAAAACAAACCATGGTTTGTTAGTGTGAATGATTTACTAAGAACTTACACGTTCTGATGAATACTAAAATAAACTCTTATCTTCCTTGGAAAGATAAATGCTCTTTTTAACTTTGCCAAGGAGGTCTTTCTAACTTTTCAGAGGAGGTCATATATCTACACAAAATGCCAAGCCGATGGAATAATGTGTGTAGTTAGTTGTAGTGATGGTACAAAAGAGAGGTATAAATTTGAACCTGAAATCAAAGGCTTTGTATTTTAAAATGCACTGAAGATCATGTGAAATGTTACACAGAAAAAGTCAGTGAAAATCTTGATCAGGTCGATTATCCACTTGGTTTTTAGAGGACATAATTGTCCAATTCTACCCCGTTTTAGAAAATAGTCCTAAGTGCTGTTACTTTTTGTTACTAATTACTACAAGAAGGAAGCAGTAGGATACTGTCCAAGTCAGTCTCTAGAATGCTTCATCAGAAGTACAATATTTAGAGGAGTTTTGCCATTTTTCTCCATAACAAATGCAAATACTGAACCAATAAATACTGTTGTGCCAAAAGCTGTTCTGATTTTACTACTCTCCTGGGTTTCTAAAGAGATTGTTCTGAAATCACTTGACTTGTTCCAGCAGCAGCATTTTTTTTTGTATGGAAAACTACATTATAATGTAATAACAGGGTAGATGGTGAGTAGTGACTATTATATGAGGAATAGCTCTACCACTATAGTGTGGTGATAAATGTTTTATTTTGGCTTTAGATGATACATTTTTTTTATCTGGAACTGTTAATTTCTGTATATAGGTGTCTTTATAGTATAAATATGAAAAATACTTACAATCTTAGTCCCAAAATGTATATTTTTGATATTTCTCAATTTTGGTATTCTTTGATTTTATTTTTTCCCCTTGAGTTCCATATTTGTATTGTTAAGTGTCTCTTTTATAGTTTCTTGTTAAATTTATTAAAATGAGTTTTATGCTCTGTGACATAGGAGATGTGTTTTGTGTGTGTGCACAGATTTTTGAGAGACTGCCAAATTATTATAAGCTTCAAAAAAGGCTGCTGTTCTTGGAAGATCGGATAAGTGAACTTCTGGGAGGAATACAAGTAATATATATTGAAGAACTGCAACCTTTGTTGACTCTAGAAGAGTACTACGAGACTCTGAACTCTTTCTATAATAAGTTACGTGACAGTAGACTGCCTTTTCATCCTCGCAGTCTGCGAGGTTTGCAAATGATTCTGGAAAGGTAGGTATTTGCAGGAAAGGTTTATTTCTTTCAGAGTTTTTACTCTTTTTTTTTTTTTTTTTTTTTTGTACCCTGATTATTGCTTTCACTAAGAAGAAAAGTAATATAATCTCGGATTTTCATTATGTCAAAGTCGTTTTGTTTCTGAAGGTTTTAAGTGCATTTTGTGGGTTAAGAAGGAATCAGACTGAAGAAAATCCTGCTTAATTTCATTCAAGTTGGACTCAAAGTTCTGTCTTTATTTTTCAGTATTGTGCTGGGGTAAATCAAAAGTTTTGTGCTGTCCTACTGGTGTTCATATTTTTTAAGTATTGTTGTCAGTTGATTTTGAAATGTAGTTTTAAAAAAGAATTATGTATTGTGTTTCTGCAGTCTCATGAACCAAACTTGATTAGTTTTTTACCAATTATTCTGATAGTGATTAATTTATATTCTTTTATCTTCAGAATTCATGCTGAAAGTAAGTAATGGAAATACTTGCATTAAAAAAATTATACCTTGTTCTTTACTTCCATCATGTTTCATAAGTGACAGATATGCACCAAGCTTACATGAATTTGGACACTTTATGATCCCAACGGTCTGTGATCCAGCAGCTCTTCAATGGTTTATTTTTGCCAAAGCACAGGAAGCAAGAGAGAATCTGAAAAGAAAGGAGGAGTAAGTGTTCATGTGACTTGATACATTTAGCTCATTAAAATCTTTGCATGTCATGTTTTTTATTTGGAGGAGGAGGAGACCTTTGAAGAACATATTCATACTCTTCTGGTGGAAAAAATCTTCTGTTTATAAAATAGAACTTTAACCATCAACTTTACTAAGTGAAGAATGACAGCATTCAGTGAACACAAACAGTTATTAGAAAATACCCTCCTTCACCTTGTAGAAACTTCATTCAGATATGAAAGATCTTTGCTTAAAAGACAAAATTGCATAATTTTTTTACAATTACTTCTCCAAAGGGGAGATGGGGGTTTTTTTAAAGGAAGATACCTTTAACTGGATAAGAAAAGCAACAACTTCTATTAATGTTAATTACAATGTGACAGTAGTAAAAAAAAATCTAAACTAAAAATATTGAGACAACTACAGAATCATTACTTCTAGTTGTTTGTCAGTTAGTTTAGAAGAAGGTTAGTTAGCACCTAACAAGGGGTTCTCCCTGTGTGCAGCTAACTTGAATTCCTTCAAGGGAGCCTGAGGTTTCACAGAACAGGAAAGCTTGTGCCTCGATATTAGGGAAGGCACTCAGGAGGGTGGTGCAGATATGGTCCACAGAGAGGACAGGCTTGCCCTAGGTTAATTCACCATCTCAATTCATCCCTGACTGCCAGAGGTGGACTGGGCTCTTGTACAGTGATCTGAGTGCCTCAGCAGAGCACAGTGCTGTGCAAGTACACTGAGATCCCATCCTGAGCTCTGGAAAGAGTGGTGGCGAGGCCCTACAGTAGTGTTTTCATGTGTTTTCAGTAGCTGTGTGTGTGCTTAGCTTGGGCTGATTCACCTCCCCGGTCTAGCACAGGGTGTGTGTAGTAGGGCAGCAGCGGTGCTGTTTCTGTAGGCAGGCTGGCTGGAAACTACAGCTGTGTTAGTGTGGCACAGTGCCTGAGCTGTTGAGACTTGCTGAGCCTGAACTGTCTGCATTAGTTGATCAGTCATGGCTCCAGTGACTTAATTAACTCTGCACATTAACTTTATTTCTGAGTAGTTTGAGTTTGCCATGTGGTGTCTTATCACTCTGGGGTGAAAGGAAAAAATCATCTGCAAGCTATGAATTCAATATTCTTAGAAATGACCTTTAAGATCATAAGGTCCAAGTGGATCCATATAATTCTGCTTTTAGGAAGTCACTAAAACATTTAATGTGCATCAATTGACTGTACCTATCAACTGTTGTTTTTGATGACATACAGAGTACTGGTGTAATTATGAAAATGAGAATAATTATGAACATGATCTTATACTTCAAACTTACACTTTCAACATTATTTAAGTACTTGCATCCCTTACATTAAAAATGGAGCTTAATAGGATTTTATTTTGATATTTTTCCCTGTTACTTAGTGAGCAAAAAGATGTCATGGTGCAGGCTTTCAAATGTGACTCCCTGGGCATGCTTTTGCCCATAGTCATGGGAGAATGTTCAGTCTGACCTCTGAGTAGACACAGGTATCAACCTGCACAAAAATCTCAGCTGTACCAACTGTACATGAATTGATACCTTTGTTTACATGAATATAACCTACTTATTTCATGATTTTCGATTTTAATATATATTCAGTATATATTGAAATGTTTGCTTCAAGGTGGTTTGTTTTTTGGGGTTTTTTTAAGATGCTAAGTTCTAACTTTGTCACTGTGTGTTGCCTTCATTTGCTAGGATGATGATTACAGAAAAAGAGCTAATTGATACTTCCACTGAAAAATTCTCTTTGGACCGACTGTATAAGGAGCCGAGTGTTTCCAGTGCACAGATGATAGATTGTTGTAAGCGGCTGCTGGAAGAATCGCTGCCATACCTACAAGGCATGCACCTTTGCATTTCACATTTCTACTCTGTGCTGCAGGATGGAGACCTGTGTATACCTTGGAACTGGAAAAACTGAGAGACATATCTGATAATCAGATGAATTGTTTATTTTCTGTAAGAGGTTATAAATATGAATGTTTTTAAGAGTAAATTATTTAAATCTGTATTTTGATATCAGTATTCAACATACAAATTTTCTTCCAGCTGCTGCTCAAGAAGGAGTGGAGTCCTAGACAATTTGCACAATGCACAGTATTGGTAGTTCTGAAAAAGACATTTGTACGTCATCCATACTACTGTAGAAGTTCAATGTATGTTAGCAGTTGTGAAACTGCATTTTTGTAGTGAATTCTGAAAATACATTAAATTGTGAGTCTGCAAAAATGTGCATGTGTATTTTTGATATACATGAATATTGCCAGATAGATCACCTTAAAGAGTGTGCTATTCAAAGCAGACGTTATATGTTACCTTAAGGGATTCGTTGAATGCAGAAGTTCAGTACATAATTTGTCTTCTGGCAACGTTGGCATTTCATACTGCTGCTTATTACTGAATTAGGAAAAAACAAAAAAGCAAGGGAAAAACAACAGAATATTTCTACTTTGACAAAGAAAACAGTACATTAACTTGGTCTCTACAGCAGAGTTTCATATGCTGGTCCAACAGTATTGCCTTAGAATTCCAAAATACACCAGTTGTACTGTCTGCAGTTACTTTAAAGCAGATGTCATTCTCTTTTTGTTTTTCAGCATTTGCTCCGTAAATACAGACAATCCTCTTTTCTTACACTATAACAGATTGCAAATCCCATTCGCAACACTTAAAACCTGAGTAGTTTAATGTGACATCTAAGGAAAGGAAGCATTGATTTGTGTGGGATTGTCTGCAAGAGTAAGTATTTCTCAATAAGAACAAGGAGTTTGCAGTACAGCAAATGGATCTTTATTGGTACTTTATTCTTTGAAAAAAAAAACAACATGAAATAAAGTGTGAATGTATGTCAACACTTTTTCATTGTAATACATGCCAAGATGCATTTTGGTATTTGGATTACTACTTTACAAAATATCTTTTGAGAAACACCAACTGCTTAACATTTCTGCACTTGAATTCATCATAACTGGCAAAAAAAAAAAAAAGAGGAATTGTCAAATGTTTACTTGCCTTTTTATTTGTATTGAGCAGGGAAATTGTTGTGGTTCTCTGTTTTCTCCTGTTAAAAGGCTCTGTGTCAAGTTGTTTGATATGTTGTCAAACTTAAAACAAAAATTCTCACTGTGATTTCAAATGTGTGTTTTAAAACATTGAGGCAGAAGCTGTGACTTTTTCAGGCCTTTAATTCAGGGATATTACTGGCAATTCCTTGTGTAGGTTTTGAAGGTCAGTTGATAGTTTCTTCTAAGTAGTTAACTTCCATTGCACGTTACCTCCCTCGCTCCATCTATCATTGATGATCCTGTCCATGTCCCCTCTGTGCTAAGCAAGTGAGCCAGTCCTATCAGTTGTAGCCCAGCAATATTCCCTGTAATAGCTCTTTGAAAGCAAGGTGTCATTGGCAATAAAAAGTGAATGTAGTGGAGTTTTTTCTTGCTTGAGTTGAATGATCCCTTACAGATCTTGAGGCAATAAGCAGTGGTCCAGTTTGATTGTAGAGGAGATGATAAAAAGTCTGAGGGAAGGTGGGTGGATGCGACTGAGAGCCCGATGGAATCCTGAAAGGATAATGACGCTAATAATGTCACAGAAAGCAGTGACTACACCTCTTTGCGGTGCAGAAAAGATGACTGGAACTGGCTGGAGGAGGAGGAGACATATGCTCTAAAGAACCTTAATGAAATAGAGCATGAGATGTTTTCATGTAAGTAACTGGGGCAATGGAGACCCTGACCTGGAATGGGGTTGGTGTAGGCAAGGGTTGGCAAGGGAGAATGGGACTGAACTTAAAGTGTAAAAGCAGTGAAAGTAGTTGCTGTTACACACTTCTAGTCTGGGATACATCTGCAGATTGTCACCGTTCCTTCTAAGGGGAAGTAGCCAATATCATCCAGCAAAATGTGTCGGCACTCCAAGGACAGTGTGGCAGCTTGCTCTCTTGATGGTTACCTCCGGGCCGAGGTCTCGGTTCTTGTGCAGTGAACCAGAGTTCCAGTCCTGCCACTCTTCCACCAGGAAGGTGGTTGGCTCGGGTGCCATGAGGGTGGGCTTTCGTTCTTCTGTTAGGTTCAGTTTTCCTGAGTTCTGAAGGAGATACATTATAAAAATCTCTAAAACTGCTCAGAAGTTGAGCAGTAAAAGAATTTAAGTTGAGCATAAGTCAGTAATTCAGCAATGCAAGGTCTAGAACTTAACAGTGTTATTTTATAGTGCACTTTCTGTAAGTCCGTTTTGCTGCAGAATGGTTGAGTTCCCTTTACAAGCATATAGACCTCTCTATTTAACATACTTAGAAAAATAGGGGGGGGACTAAATTTAAGGCACATGTTGTAGGTATTTATTTTGGCATGTTTGACTTATTTTGAAGACTGTCACAAGAGTAACAATTATCCATTTAGGTAAATATATGGGTTAAATCTGTCAGAGTTACATTTTGCTTTCTGACATGTTAATATGGTGGGGGAAAAAAAAGAGGTAATAGAACTCTGAAAATCTTTTGTCACAATGACAGGGTGGAAATGGATGATGATTTGAAACTGTTGTGTTTTTAAGCAGCGCAGAATGCCTTGAATTCTGTTCAACAACTTTGCTATCTCCTCATTACAGAACTGCATTGGAATGAGTACTAACATCTACTGTAGTTTTTTTTCAATACAATATTCCTGCTTACTCTGCGACCAACAACTAAAAACATGCTTGGCATTAAGTTTCAAAAAGTGTCCTCTTTAAAAACAAATCCTAATATAATTAGGTAGAGTTGATGTCTTGCTGTTTTAATCATTATTGTTCGTCTTAGATCTGAGGTTATCTACTGTTTAGAAATTTGCAGCAAACATGTCCGAGATTAGCTGAGGGGTTAGAGCACAGTGCTAATAATGCCAAGGTTGTGGGTTAATCCCCGTAGGGGCCATTCACTTACGAGTTGGACTTGATGATTGTTGTGGGTCCCTTCCAACTCAGAATGTTCTGTGATTTAAAAAGTCATTCTGTGATTTGAAAGATAAGTAAGAAACCCTGCCAGTGATCAAAGACTTGAAATGTGTGTTGGTCATCTGTCATGAGTCAGTAAACCCTGATGCCCAGATCGTGTCATTCAGCACATGAGAGTGGTGTAGTATTTTCATGCAGCTGCCAGAAGGAAATTCAATGCCAGATTCAATGCTACAATAAAAGAGGTGGGGGCTTGAGACAAAATTTATCACCTTAACAAGTTATTTTGATGCTGTTTAATACTGTGACCTTGAGATGCAGTCACTGACAAACAGCATTTTCCATCTTGTCAGGTGTCGGCACAACATTTTACAGTATCAGTTCTGTATGAATTTCACTGTTACGGGCTCCTGCCTGGGTTTTAACAGCTGTATATGAAAATTGCATGCAATTGCATGCAATAAGGTCCATTTTGTCATGTTCTTGTGGCTATTAACTGCTGTGATACAGTCTCCAGCACTAATTGGCTTGTATTCATGTTTTGTAAGACATTCAAAATCTTGATAATGAATCTTGGAGAAGACTTAAAAAGGGAAAGTCTTCCAGAAGATTAGAGCTAATTTTTTAAAGCATATCTAAAATCCATCAGAACTCTTCACGGAGAATGTAAATCTCATCTAGTTTTGTACGTTACAGCTAAAAAAATCTTTCTGAGGAAACTGAAATTTTTAAACTTACTAATTTGTGTCTTTCTGAGAATATATAGTATTTTTCTGAAGAAGGTTATCTCTGTGACTCCTTGGACATATGCATGTACTGTCTGCGTGTAGTACATGTATACAAAGATGAGACCTAATATTTATAAGCTTAACATTATACAGATTTGTAGTAGAGAAGGGCAGGGTTGTTTGGGGTTTTTTGTTTGATTTTGGTTTTGGTTTGACTGATTGTTTTGTTGTTGTTTTGAGGGAGGGAGAGAGGGTTGTTTGTTTGGGGTTTTTTGATTGGTTTTTAAAGCCTAGCTGAGAAGGAAAAAACATAGCTGTAAATACAGTGAAAACGTTAATTTAAGAAGTTAGACAGGGAGGTCATCCTTTTCAGTTGCGTATAAATACTAGAGTAACTTGACTTAAAAATGCAATATTATAAACTGGGATCTCGATTCTGTACATGGAAAAAATGTTTAGATATCTCTCTGGAAGGCCCAGGCAAAACTACAGTATATACTGAAGGAATGGAAAAATAATCTTGTTTTGCAGTTTGTTCTTTTCAGCTACACATTCTTTACACGATTGCTTAAATGCTGAATAATTTAGTGCTTCATTTTTGCTAAATCCTCCAATGGGCGCTGTGTCTAAGTAGCCAGACTGATTGATTATGATCTCAGCAATGTCTTTAAAACAAAAAACCTTTAGAATATGTTTTATTTAGTAGAGCTGAAATTTAGTATTTTCATGACAACTTTTATATTCTAAAAGTGTCTTTTCTCTGATCTGTTTCCATAGCCTTTGGTTGTTGTTTTGGCTCTGTATTTTAGCAAGTTTAAATGATTTTTAACTCTTTTGCTTTTCCTACCATGTTTACAAAAAAACCCACAGGCCTTAAATTCACCCCATCTCTGCTGTGGACTGTGCTAACAACAGACCCTCCCAACATGCCTGAAATTGAGCTGCTTAACCTCTTTCTAAACTTCTCTTGGATTTTAACAGGGAATAAGATTTCAGAAAAGTGGGAGCAGCCAAGGTTTTTGCCAAATATAACAGCTGCAGTGACAACATGAAACGGTGTTTTAACATTGAGGTTAGATAAAAAGAGAGGGGTTAATTTTCTTCTTATTTAGTACCAACATCCCTACCTAGCTGCACAGGAGAACACAAGGCAATTTACTGTAGCTTAAGACACCAGTCAGCTTTAATTTCTTTTTGATTGTTTCTCTTTCATCATCTGCTTTGTCATTTGATTTTTATATGTTGCAGGGACATAGTTGAGCAGTCAGCTAATGCCTGTGGTTGCTGCATGTACCCTCTCTCTGTAATGGGATATTCTGGGACCATTTACTAAAAGCAGCGCTCGGATGAGAACCTGATGTCCTCCCTCAAGACCGCTCTGTGATCTGGCAGCCACAGTTCAAGATCAAGGCATTTCCTTGATAGTGCTCTGTCCAACCCACACGTTATTTTACCCATCCGTTTGTCATGCTCCTGGGAACTTACTCTGAAATTTTTTTTTTTTAGTGGGATGTTTCAAGTTCATTGAGTCAATGGGTCACAGCCATAGACTGTGTTTTTGAATATGTTATAATCCAAGGTCATAGGTAACTCCTGTTTTTAGCTCGCATTTATTTCAGACAGTCCATGGAGACTGAGTGGTAACTTCTACACATTGCTAAAAAAATTGAATAAATGCAAATCCCTCAATTTTACAGCTGATTAAAATTGCTAGAACGTACTTAACAAGGAGCACTACATCTAACTTTGATTTTTCTCACCAACTGGCAGCTAGGGCATTGTTCAGAGATTGTATGATTTGGGGCTCACCCTGCTAGCAGGGATGTGAGAAGGTGATACTGTCTCAGAGAAGCAGACCTGTGGAGGGTGAGTCACTGTTGTCTTCATCAAGACTGCCTATGCAGCCCCAGGGGAGGACAACTGATCACAGCAACCTCTCTGGTGGAGTGGTCTGAGGAGCCCTGCTCACTTAAAAACAAAAACAAATGAACAAAAAGCAACCAAACAAAAAAATAAAGGAGAAAAAAAAAACCAAACCAACATACCACAAAACAAACAAAAAAACTCCACAGAAATAAAAGTGCTCCCTGGGGGTTTGTAGCAGTGCTGACAGAGTTTTTTGAGCCTTATGGTTTTTTGAGCCAATTTTCTGCTGTGGTTTTGCACACTTCAAATAAGATTCTTGGAGGATGATGCTGCTGTCTTCAAAATGGACAATCCCTCCAGCCAGGTGATATTTAAACATAGGGCCATTAGCGTATTGCATGATCAGATGCACATTCCTCTCTGTTTAATCTTTGAGCTTGCAAGACCTTTCTGTAAAGGTCACAGAGTGTTAATCTAGATGTGACTAACCAGCTCACAAAGGTTTTAGCAACAGGAAATCTTGTCTTGGTCAGTATTTATATGATGCCTGGAATGCCTGGGTCTCTTGCACTCTGTATTACCTCAAAAAAGAAAAATCAAATTAATGAACCAGAATTTAAAACTGTGTACAGTTGCAAACATTTTTTCATTGCTCAGGTCTTTGTTGTCCTGGCATGACGGACTTTGGAGGGAAAATAAGTTGTGCTGTAAATTGAGGAGTATATGTGTGTTCTGGTTTTAGCCAGAAATCTCTGCTGGAGCTCAAGATTCCCTGTCTTCATTTTGAGATGGTGAAAAGGGGGTGGGACAAAGGACCCTAAAGGTCTAAGCCCCTCCTGGCTGAAGTCAGGACTTTAAAAAAAATTATTACATATACACACATATATATATATATTTATCT